TTGCTTTGTTATACATTTCACGAAAATTAAGTAGCTCACATAGAATAAAAAAAAATATACGTTTTTAATAATTTTTCGAAACGCAACTCCCTTTTTAAACTGTCTCTGGATCTCATATAACACGGTTTCACACAACACGACATTATCTAGTAACAGTAGTAACCCATTTGCCGTGTTATAGGAGGGTCACCTGTACCATTAACCCAGCTATTTATCACGAAGAAACCAAAGAATCTGGATTACTCTAAATCGATCTATTGGATTTGGGTGAAAAAGTAGTAGTCCTTCTTTTACTAAATGAAAATTTATTCTTTGGTTTAGAAGGACGTCTTTACTCTGCTAAAACTGAACAAGAAGTGACGCGACGCTTAGGTCCCCTAAAAAGGAAAACTGGCGTCCACTTAAAATGAAAGAAACCATTGCCTGCATCGTGTTTATTTCCCTTGCCTTCGATGACAAAGACAGACCCAGGCCCCTAGAACCGATGGTGAAAATACGGTCTTCGACTACAGACAATGGACAGTGTTTCTTCACTGTTAGATTCAGTTTTGTGAAGGATTATTTATTAATAATCCAACACGATCTAACGTCCGTTTTAACACTAGATTTACGGAAGCCGTCAATTTGACGGATGTCAGATTCCATATTTAAAATTGCAGAACGCTTCAATATTACTTTTTAACAACTTATGTTGAATTTGTTTGATGCAATGGCATGAATACTTATTCTAATTAAAAGAAAAATCGTATTTTAACCAGTTAAGTGTGTTTGACGACTATATCCGTCATGGAGATGTGGCAGAATGTTGTGTCATGACGACTATATCCGTCATGCGTAAAATTTTGTTACAAATTGATATTTAACCAGTTAAGTGTGTTTGACGACTATATCCGTCATGGAGATGTGGCAGAATGTTGTGTCATGACGACTATATCCGTCATGCGTAAAATTTTGTTACAATTTGATATTTAACCAGTTAAGTGTGTTTGACGACTATATCCGTCGTGGAGATGTGGCAGAATTTTGTGTCATGACGACTATATCCGTCATGCGTAAAATTTTGTTACAAATTGATATTTAACCAGTTAAGTGTGTTTGACGACTATATCCGTCATGGAGATGTGGCAGAATTTTGTGTCATGACGACTATATCCGTCATGCGTAAAATTTTGTTACAAATTGATATTTTACCAGTTAAGTGTGTTTGACGACTATATCCGTCATGGAGATGTGGCAAAATTTTGTGTCATGACGACTATATCCGTCATGCATTAAAATTTGGTTACAAATTGATATTTAACCAGTTAAGTGTGTTTGACGACTATATCCGTCATGGAGATGTGGCAGAATGTTGTGTCATGACGACTATATCCGTCATGCGTAAAATTTTGTTACAAATTGATATTTAACCAGTTAAGTGTGTTTGACGACTATATCCGTCATGGAGATGTGGCAGAATGTTGTGTCATGACGACTATATCCGTCATGCGTAAAATTTTGTTACAAATTGATATTTAACCAGTTAAGTGTGTTTGACGACTATATCCGTCATGGAGATGTGGCAGAATGTTGTGTCATGACGACTATATCCGTCATGCGTAAAATTTTGTTACAAATTGATATTTAACCAGTTAAGTGTGTTTGACGACTATATCCGTCATGGAGATGTGGCAGAATTTTGTGTCATGACGACTATATCCGTCATGCGTAAAATTTTGTTACAAATTGATATTTAACCAGTTAAGTGTGTTTGACGACTATATCCGTCATGGAGATGTGGCAGAATGTTGTGTCATGACGACTATATCCGTCATGCGTAAAATTTTGTTACAAATTGATATTTAACCAGTTAAGTGTGTTTGACGACTATATCCGTCATGGAGATGTGGCAGAATTTTGTGTCATGACGACTATATCCGTCATGCGTAAAATTTTGTTACAAATTGATATTTAACCAGTTAAGTGTGTTTGACGACTATATCCGTCATGGAGATGTGGCAGAATTTTGTGTCATGACGACTATATCCGTCATGCGTAAAATTTGGTTACAAATTGATATTTAACCAGTTAAGTGTGTTTGACGACTATATCCGTCATGGAGATGTGGCAGAATGTTGTGTCATGACGACTATATCCGTTATGCGTAAAATTTTGTTACAAATTGATATTTAACCAGTTAAGTGTGTTTGACGACTATATCCGTCATGGAGATGTGGCAGAATGTTGTGTCATGACGACTATATCCGTCATGCGTAAAATTTTGTTACAAATTGATATTTAACCAGTTAAGTGTGTTTGACGACTATATCCGTCATGGAGATGTGGCAGAATTTTGTGTCATGACGACTATATCCGTCATGCGTAAAATTTTGTTACAAATTGATATTTAACCAGTTAAGTGTGTTTGACGACTATATCCGTCATGGAGATGTGGCAGAATGTTGTGTCATGACGACTATATCCGTCATGCGTAAAATTTTGTTACAAATTGATATTTAACCAGTTAAGTGTGTTTGACGACTATATCCGTCATGGAGATGTGGCAGAATTTTGTGTCATGACGACTATATCCGTCATGCGTAAAATTTTGTTACAAATTGATATTTAACCAGTTAAGTGTGTTTGACGACTATATCCGTCATGGAGATGTGGCAGAATTTTGTGTCATGACGACTATATCCGTCATGCGTAAAATTTGGTTACAAATTGATATTTAACCAGTTAAGTGTGTTTGACGACTATATCCGTCATGGAGATGTGGCAGAATGTTGTGTCATGACGACTATATCCGTTATGCGTAAAATTTTGTTACAAATTGATATTTAACCAGTTAAGTGTGTTTGACGACTATATCCGTCATGGAGATGTGGCAGAATTTTGTGTCATGACGACTATATCCGTCATGCGTAAAATTTTGTTACAAATTGATATTTAACCAGTTAAGTGTGTTTGACGACTATATCCGTCATGGAGATGTGGCAGAATTTTGTGTCATGACGACTATATCCGTCATGCGTAAAATTTTGTTACAAATTGATATTTAACCAGTTAAGTGTGTTTGACGACTATATCCGTCATTGAGATGTGGCAGAATTTTGTGTCATGACGACTATATCCGTCATGCGTAAAATTTTGTTACAAATTGATATTTAACCAGTTAAGTGTGTTTGACGACTATATCCGTCATGGAGATGTGGCAGAATGTTGTGTCATGACGACTATATCCGTCATGCGTAAAATTTTGTTACAAATTGATATTTAACCAGTTAAGTGTGTTTGACGACTATATCCGTCATGGAGATGTGGCAGAATTTTGTGTCATGACGACTATATCCGTCATGCGTAAAATTTTGTTACAATTTGATATTTAACCAGTTAAGTGTGTTTGACGACTATATCCGTCATGGAAATGTGGCAGAATTTTGTGTCATGACGACTATATCCGTCATGCGTAAAATTTTGTTACAATTTGATATTTAACCAGTTAAGTGTGTTTGACGACTATATCCGTCATGGAGATGTGGCAGAATTTTGTGTCATGACGACTATATCCGTCATGCGTAAAATTTTGTTACAAATTGATATTTAACCAGTTAAGTGTGTTTGACGACTATATCCGTCATGGAGATGTGGCAGAATTTTGTGTCATGACGACTATATCCGTCATGCGTAAAATTTGGTTACAAATTGATATTTAACCAGTTAAGTGTGTTTGACGACTATATCCGTCATGGAGATGTGGCAGAATGTTGTGTCATGACGACTATATCCGTCATGCGTAAAATTTTGTTACAAATTGATATTTAACCAGTTAAGTGTGTTTGACGACTATATCCGTCATGGAGATGTGGCAGAATTTTGTGTCATGACGACTATATCCGTCATGCGTAAAATTTTGTTACAAATTGATATTTAACCAGTTAAGTGTGTTTGACGACTATATCCGTCATGGAGATGTGGCAGAATGTTGTGTCATGACGACTATATCCGTCATGCGTAAAATTTTGTTACAAATTGATATTTAACCAGTTAAGTGTGTTTGACGACTATATCCGTCATTGAGATGTGGCAGAATTTTGTGTCATGACGACTATATCCGTCATGCGTAAAATTTTGTTACAAATTGATATTTAACCAGTTAAGTGTGTTTGACGACTATATCCGTCGTGGAGATGTGGCAGAATTTTGTGTCATGACGACTATATCCGTCATGCGTAAAATTTTGTTACAAATTGATATTTTACCAGTTAAGTGTGTTTGACGACTATATCCGTCATACAGATGTGGCAGAATTTTGTGTCATGACGACTATATCCGTCATGCGTAAAATTTTGTTGCAATTTGATATTTAACCAGTTAAGTGTGTTTGACGACTATATCCGGCATGGAGATGTGGCAGAATTTTGTGTCATGACGACTATATCCGTCATGCGTAAAATTTTGATACAATTTGATATTTAAATTGTAATTTCGGCGAAAACTAAATTATATTCGTAAATTTCAATATGTTTAAAATGTTTAGAGGTCAAGACGAAATGAAACAAACAAATAAAAATTATAAATAATTAATATAAAAAAAACCACATATACTACGAATTAGTTTTCGTAAACGTATCGTTGTCTTTTATTAGTCATCACAGAAGCAATTACGGATTCATATATTCATTATGCATTGTACCATGCTAACAGCAAGTTAAAGTATGAAATTGATTCTTCATGTTCTTTTTTCGTTCATATGCAAAATATTTATGTTAATTTAAGGAAATAAATAAATGTGAGTAATGAAATAAAACAAATAAAAGTCATTTTATTACAACCCAATTTCATATTACACATACTCAGTGTTTGACGACTATACCCGTCATAGCTTGATTATCGCGACACATACTGGTTATACTGGTTAACTGGTTAAAAGAAAAATCGTATTTTAAGGTAATTGTCAACATGAAAGGTATCGATAAATATGCGTGTGATTAGTGCCCGTAAATCTAGTGTTAAAAGTTCGCTCGCGCGCCCAACCAGGTAACCGACATATCAGCCGCCACACAGGTGTCCCGGTTTCCAATTTTCCGGATGGTTAACCGATTACAGAGGCGTTCGTAGTTGCTCCGCTCGATACAGCGGTCTCCCCGATCTCATTCACGGTGATTTTCACGTGCCGGAGGCAATGGGGCCCCATGTGGTCGACGCTGATAAGCAGTGGAATTGAAACTTCTATCAAATTGCGCGAGGTCTCCGCCAGTATAAAAGCCCGGCTCCTCGAGGCCAGGAGCATCAGAAGCTCTCTGGAGCTCAGAGGAGCAACACGAAGTATCCACCGAACTCTCCACAGCATCTCTAAATATACCAAGCAGCTCGAGAAACAAGAACAAGTCGGGTAAGAAAGAAAATAATACATTCGAACCTCTACTTTTCGAACGCCTTTTTTAAAAATATTTTTTAAATATGTTCTTTCAAATATCAATAATTTATATCATAGACACCCTTAAAATCGTACGTGTAATGGTAAAATCGTAAACTGTTCGTACCAAATAACCTCTGAAAGTCGATAAATATGCGCTCTGTTTAAAATTCATTCTTCCGAGAATGGAGATTCTGTTTTATTGCGATTTGGCGAAGGAATTTATGCAAACTTATCTCTATGTTCCAAAGGATGCGGCGTACGAGGCACGTCGCGCTGCCAGTGCGAGCCTGGCAATATATGGGCCTTCTCATAGTGTCGTTAGCTTGCCTAACGCTGGGATTGGTCTCCAGGGACAAAGAAGGCCGTGCGGGAAGTCTGGCAGGACCCGAATTGGAGCATCGAGCACCACACGAGTAAGACGATACACTTTTTCGATATTTCAAACACCGACCACTGTTGCACTAAAACACTATTGCGCCTGAGAGCCCTCAAGATTACACAACCTTTAAAAAAATCGTCTGTTCCAATGAAATTACAATTCGAAAGCTTGAAAATGTGTCTGAATAACCAAATCGTGGTTTTCGTAGTGAAATTAATAGTTTATTATAGGTATATATGCGAATTGCAAAGAATAGGCTCGCAGCGTGGCGATTACTCGACTCTCTCGCGACACTCTAACTCTCGCGCTGTCCGCCGCGTGGCGCTGCGACTACTCAGGACCGTAACTAGCCGATCCAGCACAAAAATAACGTTGAATTTCTATCCTTGAAAAGAAATTTTTTAAGAAATAGTTTGTTCGCTTTGGGTCCGGCTAAAGTTACTCGACGACACGCAGAATATAAAAAAATACTGTTTCATATCACATTAATGATCCACGATGATGAAAAGATCCAATTTTTGGAATTGAGATTTCTTTTTCTTTTTCTTAAGAATAAATGTTACTTTTCTATTTTTTCCATTGATTATAATTTTTATCTAGTCCCTTTCACGTGGTATTATTAACATTTAGAAATCATTAGTTACGACTACGGAACTCTTGAAAATTATAGTGGTGCTATAGTTATGCACCATTGCAATATTTCAATAGTATTATATATATTATGATATTATATTCAATAACAATTCGAAACGTTGAAAATGTGTCTGAATAACCAAATCGTGGTTTTCGTAGTGAAATTAATAGTTTATTATAGATATATATGCGAATTGCAAAGAATAGGCTCGCATCGTGGCGATTACTCGACTCTCTCGCGACACTCTAACTCTCGCGCTGTCCGCCGCGTGGCGCTGCGACTACTCAGGACCGTAACTAGCCGATCCAGCACAAAAATAACGTTGAATTTCTATCCTTGAAAAGAAATTTTTTAAGAAATAGTTTGTTCGCTTTGGGTCCGGCTAAAGTTACTCGACGACACGCAGAATATAAAAAAATACTGTTTCATATCACATTAATGATCCACGATGATGAAAAGATCCAATTTTTGGAATTGAGATTTCTTTTTCTTTTTCTTAAGAATAAATGTTACTTTTCTATTTTTTCCATCGATTATAATGTTTTTCTAGTCCCTTTCGCGTGGTATCATTAACATTTAGAAATCATTAGTTACGACTACGGAACTCTTGAAAATTATAATGGCGCTATAGTTATGATCCACAGTGTATGTACATCCAACTCATACACTTATTATAAGAGAAATAAACACTGTTTTAATTACCATTTTTCTCAATGGCTAACGAACTGCATACGACTCATCCTATGAATTATGCTACTAATGCTAATTGTTTATTTTCAGAGTGGATGCCTGCCCAAACTTGAATCCTTTCACCAAGTTGCCTTCCTGCTCGATCCTCGAGCAGGACCCTGCAAGGGTTCCAAAGATCTCCGGGGAGACTGCAAGCGTCAGAAGCAGTCAAATACCGGTCGATCGGAGGATCTCTCGATCACGAAACCTGGATCACGTCTCTCGAACTCGAACGGACCGCAAAAGTGGGGAGAAATTGGCTAGACGAGGACCAAACCTTGATGACAATTCCTCCAGGCTTGTTCGATCATCTCGTTCCTTGGATCTGGACGATTCACGACTCACCACTCGATCATTGGATCGTAGATCGCGTGTGGATCATCGAGAAGCTTCGACAATTGGAATGAACGAACGTCGTGAACGCCTCGTCCGCTCGAACGATCGATTCGACATCAGAGATCGTAGATTATCGACTACAGATCGCGACCATCGACTCGAGATCCGAGAACGTAGATCTCGTTCGCTGGATCATCGAGCCTCGAGGAACCCGGAGCGTCGTATCAATGGAAACCTAGAAAATGATCGCGAGGATCGTCGAAATCGTATTGTTTATCGTGCAGAAAGACGCGTCGATGATCGTAGATCGGTTTCCAGAGCCTCGAATTCCAACTACGAAGAAAATCGACGAAACGTTCGATCAGTTTCACGTGAAAGGCAAGTTTCTGGTGCTTCGAGGGACCAAGACAGAAGATCGCTGATCAGAACCACTGAAAATATCAGACGACTTGACTCTAGATCCCCTGGTGATGTCGAAAGGACCACGATGATTCGTCGCGTTGACAGACAAATCTCTCGATCCTTGGATCGTGAGAATTCACGAACTGAACGTGACTTTGCTGATCAACGATTATCGCGATCGCGTGGGTATGAAGCTTCTCGAGAACGGAAACCCCTTGCACGATCTATGAAACTCGAATCCACAGATTTTCGACGAGAAAACACCGTGAGAAACGTCCAATCGCAAGATCGTATGCGACAGATCGCTAGACGCGAGTCTAGATCGAACCTGGATCGTAGATTCGAAAGAAGAGAGCAACGAGATGCGAGGAACCAACGCAGAGGGATGATCGATGAGATTGATCGCCGTTTGAACGCTAGATTGAACGAAAAACGTGAGACTTCTCTTCCTAGATCCTCTGGAATGGGTAATTCTGAACGACGAGAGAGCAATTGGTTGGATCTAGCTCGTGAGAAACGCGATTCAGAGAGACGAGTGACGAATCGATCTAACAATCGAATGTCTTTGGAAAAGAGATCCATAGTCGCAGAATCTGTGAACAAAGAGGATTTTGGAACCAATCGTTGGTCTCTAGAACGCTCCAGGAACGATAATATAAGAAGAAATCGATTGAATTTGGCTCGTGAATCTGTTAAACGCGACACAGAACGTCGATCGAGGGACCTATCCAATGATCGACGATCCTCAGAAAGGAAATCACCCGTTTCAGAGTCTGAAATTCCTCGAGAAGTTAGAACAGATCGTCGTCTTTCCACACTTAACAGCTTAGAACGTCGTGAGAGGACAAATCGATTGAATTTAGCTCGTGAAAATATCAAACGTGACACAGAAGGTAGAGCGAGGGACTTATCCAACGATCGACGATCCTCAGAAAGGAAATCACAAGTTTTGGAACCTGCAATTCGCCGAGAAATTAGAACAGATCGTCGTCTTTCCACGTTTGATAGTGTAGAACGCCTTGAAAGGACAAATCGACTGAATTTGGCTCGTGAAACTGTTAAACGCGACACAGAACGTCGATCGAGGGGCCTATCCAATGATCGACGATCCTCAGAAAGGAAATCACCCGTTTCAGAGTCTGAAATTCCTCGAGAAGTTAGAACAGATCGTCGTCTTTCCACACTTAACAGATTAGAACGTCGTGAGAGGACAAATCGATTGAATTTAGCTCGTGAAAATATCAAACGTGACGCAGAAGGTAGAGCGAGGGACTTATCCAACGATCGACGATCCTCAGAAAGGAAAACACAAGTTTTGGAACCTGCAATTCGCCGAGAAATTAGAACAGATCGTCGTCTTTCCACGTTTGATAGTGTAGAACGCCTTGAAAGGACAAATCGACTGAATTTGGCTCGTGAAACTGTTAAACGCGACACAGAACGTCGATCGAGGGACCTATCCAACGATCGACGATCCTCAGAAAGGAAATCACCCGTTTCAGAGTCTGAAATTCCTCGAGAAGTTAGAACAGATCGTCGTCTTTCCACACTTAACAGCTTAGAACGTCGTGAGAGGACAAATCGATTGAATTTAGCTCGTGAAAATATCAAACGTGACGCAGAAGGTAGAGCGAGGGACTTATCCAACGATCGACGATCCTCAGAAAGGAAAACACAAGTTTTGGAACCTGCAATTCGCCGAGAAATTAGAACAGATCGTCGTCTTTCCACGTTTGATAGTGTAGAACGCCTTGAAAGGACAAATCGACTGAATTTGGCTCGTGAAACTGTTAAACGCGACACAGAACGTCGATCGAGGGACTCATCCAACGATCGACGATCCTCAGATAGGAAAATCAGCCTGGAACTCCGTGAAAGGACGAATAAACTGAATATTGCGCGTGAATCTCGAGCTACTCTCACCGGGTTACCTGAAACTGTTAAACGCGACACAGAACGTAGAGTAAGAGACTCATCCAACGATCGACGATCCTCAGAAAGAAGGTCGACCATTTTGGAATCTTCACGTCGTCAAGAAATTCGAACCAATCGTCGTCTTTCGGAACGTTCGAGACTTAATTTCGTGGATCAAAGGGAGAGGACAAATGCTTTGTACATAGCTCGTGAATCTAGAATTCCTCTCACCAGGTCCTACGAAACTGCTAAACGTGATCTAGAACGTAGATTCAGAGATTTACCCAGTGATCGACGATCGTCAGAAAGGAGATCCACTGTTCTCCAACTTGTAAACCAAGAAGAAGTGAGAACTAGAACTGATCGTCATTCTAGACTCGTTAGCTCCGAACGACGCGATAGGACGAGTCGATTGTACATAACAAGTGAATCTGTGGCTCCCTCTATGTCCTCCCTAACTGATAATCATAATTTAGCGCGACGTGTAAGACACTCATCCAGCGATCGAAGGGATCGAAGCTTAGATCGTCGACAACTCGTGGATTCCAAGAGATCCTCAGAAGCTACTGCTTTGGAACATCGAAATGATCGAAGAATCGAGGCAGAACGTAGCCAAAAGAGATCGAATCTTAACAGATTGCATCGATCTAGCGCCACTATTCTAAACGATCCTCGATCGAACCAAAGAGAACAAAGACTGACTGAAAAGACGCTTCGAAGCAAACCCCTAAACGACATGAAACGATCTCGTTTGGTCCAAAGACTCAGCTTCTCGGACAAAGGAGCTCGTATCTTCTCAAATTTGAAGGATTCCGTGGACCTGAACGCTGAAAAATATGTTAAATCATCTCGAGTGAATATTCCAAGCTATTCGAAAGAGGAGAATTCTGTAAAATACGCTTTCACCTTCGATGTTTTGCGCCAGGCACTTGTAATCGGTCTCTGCGCACTGTACAGCCTCTCCATCTTTCGTGGGAAACAATCTTTCGTCAGGTACGTCCATTTATGATATCTGAAGATCATAGAATTAAATATTTAGTATTTGTTGGATTTATGAGGCTTCGCAAAATTAACAACACTCTGATAAACAGTTCAATATATATATATAGGGTTATTATTTTATAGCTAGTGTTACAGAATAGACAATCAGTGTTACTCGGAAAAATAGAGCTTTATTCTTATATTTATGATGTACATTATATACACTATTTACACTAATTACAACTTAATATCACCTGAAAAATAGAGGAACGACAATATAAGTCTATTCTCTCTTAACTATTCTAATTATTATACTAAGGTATTTTACTTTATTTCCGATTCTGCTCTCGCTTAACGTTTGTCTCTCGCACGTGTTCTATTTCTCTCTCTCTCTCTCTCTATCTATTCTTCATCTTTCACCGGTTACTTCCTTTCCTACGCATTACGCGTTCACTCGACCATCGACCAAACACCACTGCCTTTGTTCTCCGGCAACCGACTCGCCACGAAGGCTACCGAGCCTACCCGACTCGCCCCGAAGGCTCCCGAGCCTGCCCGACTCGCGCACGGAAGACGCGCAGTTGCAGTTATTACAAATCGATTCGTGTCTCATCGTTTTCGATTATCCAATTTTCAGACAACCATAATTCCTACAATAATGAATATATTTCAATGAAACTTTTTTTCGAAGTAGAACTCATGGATACCTACAAAAAAGTATTAGACAACTTTGCCGTAGAGCATCGAACAAAATTACTAAAAATCAAAAACTAATTTTAAGTAAAATCGTGCCTAAATATTTTGACGATATCGAAAAGTTTCAAGTCGGTCTCAAAAAATTATTTTCGATCGCAGGGGTCAATTACAATCATTTTTAGTTAAGAGGAATACCCTCGAAATCCTAACCATTTTGGAGAAAAAAATTCCTTACTGAAAATATATTCTATGTCACTTAAAAATTTCATGCGAATCTTTAAAACGTCATAACTTCTGAACAGATTGGACGATTTTAATGTTTCAAGCGGCAAACAACGCGTATTTTGGCGAAGAATATATTGAAATTCTAATAATATTGAAAAAGTTATTCCTTGACCCCGTAAAATTAGAAAAACCCTCATAAAAATGGTCCAATTTTCAGACAACCATAATTCCTACAATAGTGAATATATTTCAATGAAACTTTTTTTCGAAGTAGAACTCATGGATACCTACAAAAAAGTATTAGACAACTTTACCGTAGAGCATCGAACAAAATTACTAAAAATCAAACACTAATTTTAAGTAAAATCGTGCCTAAATTTTTTGACGATATCGAAAAGTTTCAAGTCGGTCTCAAAAAATTATTTTCGATCGCAGGGGTCAATTACAATCATTTTTAGTTAAGAGGAATACCCTCGAAATCCTAACCATTTTGGAGAAAAAAATTCCTTACTGAAAATATATTCTATGTCACTTAAAAATTTCATGCGAATCTTTAAAACGCCATAACTTCTGAACAGATTGGACGATTTTAATGTTTCAAGCGGCAAACAACGCGTATTTTGGCGAAGAATATATTGAAATTCTAATAATATTGGAAAAGTTATTCCTTGACCCCGTAAAATTAGAAAAACCCTCATAAAAATGGTCCAATTTTCAGACAACCATAATTCCTACAATAGTGAATATATTTCAATGAAACTTTTTTTCGAAGTAGAACTCATGGATACCTACAAAAAAGTATTAGACAACTTTACCGTAGAGCATCGAACAAAATTACTAAAAATCAAAAACTAATTTTAAGTAAAATCGTGCCTAAATTTTTTGACGATATCGAAAAGTTTCAAGTCGGTCTCAAAAAATTATTTTCGATCGCAGGGGTCAATTACAATCATTTTTAGTTAAGAGGAATACCCTCGAAATCCTAACCATTTTGGAGAAAAAAATTCCTTACTGAAAATATATTCTATGTCACTTAAAAATTTCATGCGAATCTTTAAAACGCCATAACTTCTGAACAGATTGGACGATTTTAATGTTTCAAGCGGCAAACAACGCGTATTTTGGCGAAGAATATATAGAAATTCTAATAATATTGGAAAAGTTATTCCTTGACCCCGTAAAATTAGAAAAACCCTCATAAAAATGGTCCAATTTTCAGACAACCATAATTCCTACAATAGTGAATATATTTCAATGAAACTTTTTTTCGAAGTAGAACTCATGGATGCCTACAAAAAAGTATTAGACAACTTTACCGTAGAGCATCGAACAAAATTACTAAAAATCAAACACTAATTTTAAGTAAAGTCGTGCCTAAATTTTTTGACGATATCGAAAAGTTTCAAGTCGGTCTCAAAAAATTATTTTCGATCGCAGGGATCAATTACAATCATTTTTAGTTAAGAGGAATACCCTCGAAATCCTAACCATTTTGGAGAAAAAAATTCCTTACTGAAAATATATTCTATGTCACTTCAAAATTTCATGCGAATCTTTAAAACGCCATAACTTCTGAACAGATTGGACGATTTTAATGTTTCAAGCGGCAAACAACGCGTATTTTGGCGAAGAATATATAGAAATTCTAATAATATTGGAAAAGTTATTCCTTGACCCCGTAAAATTAGAAAAACCCTCATAAAAATGGTCCAATTTTCAGACAACCATAATTCCTACAATAGTGAACATATATCAATGAAACTTTTTTTCGAAGTAGAACTCATGGATACCTACAAAAAAGTATTAGACAACTTCACTGTAGAGCATCGAACAAAATTACTAAAAATCAAAAACTAATTTTAAGTAAAGTCGTGCCTAAATTTTTTGACGATATCGAAAAGTTTCAAGTCGGTCTCAAAAAATTATTTTCGATATTTTCGACTCCTTTTACACATTTATGGGAAATTTTAATTTTCAAAAAAACTACAAAATTCAGTTGATACGCAAGAATATAAGAAATACTTAAACTAAGGTACTAATTTTACTAATAAAAATATGAATTTGCATGAAGATTCGCAGTCTAATTATAATTATTGCAATTTCATACTGAAACTACCGTAGAAGATTTGCTTACGAGTCAAAATATTGAAAAAAGATTACAATTTTTATTTTGACACATAAGATTACCAATGCTTTCAATCAACTTGTTTTCTTTTTAATTAAATTGACTATTACGACTCATGAAATGTATTGTTTTGTTACAGCACCGTTGTGAGACAGGCGTCACGTGTTATTCTATGGTAAATGAACAAACTACTTCGCTCATTGGATGGAAACAACGATCCGCTGCTATCATGGCTTGCTTCTAGTCTTTGTTCTGACGTAATAGTTCTACGCGTTGTGTCGCAGTGTACTTGCAACAATGTTCTAGCTGTATTATAATGTACAGTTGATGTATATCTCATGTAGAAACAGAAATGTATCGCATGTGTCCAAAAAACTATATTTTATCCCAATAAATTGTTCAAACGAAAATCAACACTGTGTATTTACTATACTAAAATTAACTTGATCTCAAACGATATCTGTTACGATAAAAGTACTCGATTCAATGATTCTGTAGAATCTTGGACAATTTTGCAACATCAAAGGATTCGAAGGAATTTGAATTTGAATTTTCCATAGAACACTCGATTACGAAACTTTGAAAAGAAAGAACACTTTGGTGTTTGCAATAACGTGATTACTTAAAGCGATACTACATTGTCAAGTCGCCAAAATATGGAAAATCTTACACTTCAGCATATTATTTTCACGTACGACAAACTGGAACACTGTGGCCACTTTAGACTCGAGTCAAAAATACCTCCATCAAATGAATTAATTTCAACATCATTATATGTGTATAATTATATGTCGGAGAAACAGAATCTTGAACCACTTCTCTAGGGCGGTGAACATTTGGTCCTCTCGTGCGACCAAGCCTTTGTCTTGTTATCATATGCATATTCTTTTAAAACTTCGAACTAAATAAACTTCCACAAATAATAAACTCAAACACTTAAACGGAACGAAAGAAAGAATGCTCAACGTGAAACTAATGAGTCCTTCGCAAGGATTTCCATTTCGATTTACTCGCACAATCTTTCTGTCCGATCACCCTTTTTCAATTCTCTTCTCTTTCAAAAGTTTCGGTAACCAGACAACCAACTCGGCTACCTTCAAAGGCCACGTTCAAACGTAAACGCCAACCAGACGTACGTTTGCGTTTCCGATGACGTTCTTTGCATCGATTAAATTTAAGAATCGATAAGGGGCGATATAACTTTATTATCACGAACTGTAGTAACATTCAATTAGAACAACAACAACTGTTTAATGGATTCCGACATATATATATTTACTGTTCAAAATTATAATGCAGAGTTTAATGTGAAATACATTGCGGCGCATTAAAAACAGAATGTATTTCTAATTGAAATCAACTCTGGTTTGAATTATACAAATTTTTAAGTCCGTAACTCGTGATCAATGGTTTTACTTCACTGACAAAATCCCGTAGCTTTAACTTTCGATACTTCATCGTCTTCTATTGTCTTTCGTGTTACAAATTTTGTTGCTTTTCGAGAAACGATACGATGAGCTTTTTTAAAATTATACAGCCATGTTTTGGAAGCTTTAAACGTCACGTAATCGTTACCTTGTTCCTTGTATGCTTGTAAAGCCCATCGTCGAATATCTCTATCGTGCAAAATATAACCGGAATCAATAGCTCTCTTCAAATATGTTGTCACGAACTCGGAAATTTGAGGCAATCTTTCTTTTCTAGTTCCTCTTGCTTCAATTTTGATGAGTCCATCTTCGTAATTGTCGTTCGGATGAAACAAGTTTAAAATTATGTCGAACGGTAGCAAGTCTACGTCTCATTTCTCCACCTTTCCAAAACTAAGAAACTAAGAAACTAAGAAACTAAGAAACTAAGAAACTAAGAAACTAAGAAACTAAGAAACTAACAAACTAAGAAACTAAGAAACTAGAAACTAACAAACTAAGAAACTAAGAAACTAAGAAACTAACAAACTAAGAAACTAACAAACTAACAACTGCATTCCGTTTGTAATAAACATCAAAGTTTTCGTCACGCTGCGAACAAACTCCAGTATATGTCTCCCCGGACCAATTTTCGTCTGCGTCATCTTCATCGACAACCTTAACCTCACATTCTTTAAATTGATCCAAAAATTCCAATGACCGTTCTTCAGAAACTTCAATTTCATTAAATTCAAATATGCTATCGAGCAACATTTTTTTAATGCTTTCCTTGAGTTGTACTTCCTCTCTCGTTACGAGAGTATCCATTAAATATTTGAAATGTTGCTAATAGCAAATTGATCACATTCATCGGATCGATAGTCATTTTTAATCGCTGCATTACAAAATGAATGCTGTGATCACGTCGAACGCTCTGATTTGACTTTACAACTAACCAATCGTCGAGGTATATATGTTACCGTGAATGACCGAAATTGGAGAATGTCAACTTTCACCGGTGAATGTCAACAGATACCAAATACGACGGTGAAAGATCGAATATTTCATTACATTGTTGTACATTCGGACCCTCTCCGGTGTGTGTCGACAATCACAGATATGCTCTGGTGGAGTTCCAAAACAGAAGAGTCAAAAAACAAGCGACTGGCTCTCTCCTGCCAAATCCTTTGTTCTGCTCGGAGTCAATCAGCTTTGTCAGTCTTATGCAAGCTTTGATAACGCGAGCAACGTTTTCTTAATTTTTTTCCCGATACCCTAATTTATACTAAATGGATACTGCAGTAAATCGTGATCTTTTTCTAACCCAGACCAAACCCAGACCTAATCCAGACCTAACCCAGACTTAATTCAGACTTATTTCAGACCTAACCCAGACCTAACCCAGACCTAACCCAGACCTAACTCAGATCTAATCCAGACCTAACCCAGACCTAACTCAAATCTAATCGAGACCTAACCCAGACCTAACTCAGATCTAATCCAGACCTAACCCAGACCTAACCGAAATCTAATCCAGACCTAACCCAGACCTAATCCAGACCTAACCCAGACTTAATTCAGACTTATTTCAGACCTAACCCAGACCTAACCCAGACCTAACCCAGACCTAACCCAGACCTAACCCAGACCTAACCCAGACCTAACCCAGACCTAACCCAGACCTAACCCAGACCTAACTCAGATCTAATCGAGACCTAACCCAGACCTAACCCAGACCTAACTCAGATCTAATCCAGACCTAACCCAGACCTAACCGAAATCTAATCCAGACCTAACCCAGACCTAACCCAAATCTAGGGTCTGGGTCAGGTCTGGGTTAGGTCTGGATTAGATTTCGGTTAGGTCTGGGTTAGGTCTGGATTAGATTTCGGTTAGGTCTGGGTTAGATCTGGATTAGATTTCGGTTAGGTCTGGGTTAGGTCTGGATTAGATTTCGGTTAGGTCTGGGTTAGATCTGGATTAGATTTCGGTTAGGTCTGGGTTAGGTCTCGGTTAGTTCTGGGTTAGGTCTGGGTTAGATCTGGATTAGATCTCGGTTAGGTCTGGGTTAGGTCTGGGTTAGGTCTGGGTTAGATCTGGGTTAGGTCTGGGTTAGGTCTGGGTTAGGTCTGGGTTAGGTCTGGGTTAGGTCTGGGTTAGATCCTTTCAGAAAGAGAGGCGAAAAAGTTACGTCACCCTTGTGACGTTTTATAGCGACTGAATTACGGAGAAGAAAATATAAATCTCCAACATGTTCAACACTCACCATTAGTGCATGGTGAATGTCAACATTTACCGGTGTAAGTCAGAAATGAGGGTGTTTAGCAAATATTTCGGTCATACACTAAGCGACTATGTGAATGTTGACATTCACCGGTGAAAGTCGACATTCTCCAGATTTCGGTGTTTCACTGTAACATATACATATGTATTCTCCGTTCATTCTTCTTGCCAATTCACGCAACAAAATTTCGATAAATAATATAGTTTCCGTGGAACATATTTTCTTTACTGAATTTCGATAGAACATTTTGATGCAACGCCCGAAGTCACTGAACCTATCTTACCATTTTCGTGTTAGCGACAAACGCTATCTTCTCAAAATTAAATAAAATTGCAGCACTTTTACCAATACGAATTAAAACTAAGTACGTGAAGAATTACTTCCTCGAAAACCATTGAAATCTGGATAGATTTAAATCTGACTTACGCACGGAAACGTAATCAATAAATTCTATTGAAACCTGTTACCGATGCACTGACTAAGTTGCCTCGTCGCGACTCTTTGCTTTTCCATCTGTCGAAGAAAATAAAATTCAACGGGGGTCGTAAAACGCGTATTTGAAATATGCAGACGGTCGAATGCAAGAATGATGACAATATCTCGTAAGTTTCAGGTATCGATTCCCCCGTTTTCATTAAAAATTTCTATTTTTGCATTTTATATACATCGCGGAATTTATCGTTCAATTTTTTCTATATATTTTTCACACTAAGTGCAACCGTGCATAATGTTTCGATGGAAAACATCGTACGATATGCAAAGTAGCAATACGAATGGTAAGAGCCACATAGTTGCTCTTATAAAATATAAATAAGTCGCGTCGTCGCGTTCTCTGTTATCATGGTAATAATATAGCGCGTAACAGGAAGCAATTCGAAGAAATTCATTTCTTGGAGGGTAAACAAGAGATACCTGTCGACATTCCACAGTCTTCAGTGAACCCTAAACCTTCGACCAACAAACAAGCAGAATAGCATCCCTAGAGTAAGCTTGTCAAGATCTATGTCGAATTTCGTGTTAAAGTAATAAAATTTCAATTTAAACTAAACTAAACGCAATTTCTGTGCAACTCTCTGTTGGGTAGTATGTAAAAAACAAGATAAATTATCTGCAGTAAATAATGCATTTATTACGGTGGATATTTAAGGTGAACACCTTTGCCGGCTGCTCGCAAACATCTTCGTGGACGTCTCCGATTAAAAAGTTTCTCTACACTGTTTATACGTTCGTTCTGTTCGTCCTGTTACACAGCTTCTGTTTAACTCAAATTTTGGACATAGTATATAACGTCAATAGTCAGGACGAGTTCAGCGAGAATATTTATTGGACAGTGGGGGTCGCTCTTACTTGTTTCAAAATGTGGAGCCTGTTACATAATCGTGACAATTATGCAATTTTGATCGACGAACTGGAAAGGAAGCCTTTGTTGCCAGCGAACACCGAAGAAATCGAAATTCGAACGAAATTCGACAAGGTGGCGGAGTGAGTCTATATCTATGTTATCGCTAGTTATAGTAATAGTAACAATCGCTTTAGATCCTGATAGGATCTTGAAGTTTTGCCAGGATTGCAGTAAACCTTCACACGTTGATAATTTCCAACCGATAATTACGAATGCCATGCTGCAATACTGACGAAACTACGAAATGCTGTTTCACAAAAATTTCAGATCGTACAGTAATACAGTAATATCGTTACAGACGGAACGCAATTGCTTACATGACGGTAGTTGCATTAAGTATAGGATGGATGATTTTATCGTCGTTCTTAAAGAAATTCCGAAATCGAAAATTAACGTACCGCGCCTGGTTACCGTACAACTATTCTTCTTCCTCTATTTTTCTTATCACCTATGCTTATCAGACTGCGGGAATCACACTCGCCATGCTTTTGAACATTGGTTGCGACACTCTACTCGGCGGCCTGTTAATTCACACGTACGGCCAATTCGAAATACTACGGCATCGTTTGAATCATATTGCAAAGAATGAGAAAGATTCGGCGAAACAATGTGCTCATCTTCATAACGATATATACAAGTTGGTCATCCATTTTTTCTACAAGCTTACTTCATTTAATAATTACACAGAAACAAAACCTTCTTTTTTTTATCAAAAATAAAATATCGGTAGATAAAACAAAAGTAATTGTAAGAATTTTTAAATTTGTTTTCACACGAAGAATTAATTAACCCGGAAAAATCTTCCACATTTTAATAGATACCCAATGTACGCATGAGAAATTGCTATAAAAATTAGAAAATATTTCATTCAAATAGAATATAATTGGTAATAACGAAAAAATGTGAGCTGATTTAAAAGATAAATTAAAAAGAAGCTTAATTATTTTAAACCTAACACTTATCACGATCGTAGAAATTTTATGTTATGGTTGCGCTTATAAAAAATTTTGGAAACCAATTTCGATATTATTACAGATTCGCCGTGATGGTGAACGAGAAATTTAAGACAATGGTATTTATTCAGTTTGCGGTGAGCATATCATTATGTGGTTTAAGCCTTTACCGATTGAAGCAATCAGAAATAAATTCAAAAATGATCGAAATAATACTCCCTACATGCAGCATACTTATGCAGATATTGTACTACTGTTGGTATGGGAACGAAGTCAAAGTGAAAGTACATACGTTCTTACAGCAAAGAAATCAATTTACAATTAAATCGCTGAAATTTTATACCACACTTTTCTCGCTAGAGTCTCGAAGTTTTCGATATGGTAATCGAAAGTAATTGGATGTCTTTGGACAACGACGCTAAGAAGATTCTTATAATGATTATGAGACGCGCAACAGTGCCCATCGAATTTAACACCATGCATCTTGTGTCCATAAATCTTGAATGTTTCAAGACAGTCAGTACAAAATATATATTTTCTTACGCTACTGCTATCAACAGTTGTCTAAAAGACTGTCGTAACAGTTCGGTTCATTCTGTGACATTAACAGCCGTTTCAAATGATTAACGTTTCATTATTATTTGTCGATTAATTTTGTCTCCTTGTTAAAAAATGACAGCGTTATCCATTTGTGTAATGCATTCGAATTTTAGTTTTCTAACGTAGGCTAAGCCCTTTGAATCGTACAGCTTGATTACCATTAGTATTCAAAGAAAACGATGGTTCAAGCTGCACAGAAAATGTTATAATTAAACATTTCAAATATACGCTTTTTGCAGATAATAAAAACTTCTTACTCGGCGGTCAACATGCTCCAGCAAGCTTATTAACACTAGAAGGTATGCGCATTATTTGTAATAAAGATTTACCACCCCTTCTGAATGAACATATTAAACACAAATCTAACCTAAACGTACCACAAACATTAGACACGCGATATAGTAGCGAATAGTCAAATTTAGTAAAGTAAACAGGACTCTAAGCCTCATACGAAAACAATTTATTCTATATTTTCGATTAACTTTTACAAAGGAAATTACCCCTATTCATAATAGTATAATATAATGATTTCGAAATCACTGTGTCCAATTATAAAAGAAATGGCAACTTCAAAAATGTCCTTTGATAAAGTACAAATAGACTGACAAGAGGAGAGCCGGGACTGATCCGTCTACATTTTAATACAGTGTTACAGAATCAAACTGCTGGCTTACAGTTATGGGGTGCCCGCATAGTCAGTAATAGTAGGGAACAAAATTAAAGGAATCCTCTTGTTCTTTAAACGAATGAAACCTGTACGATCCAGAGTTGGGCATTACTCGATTAAATTTATTGAAGTAATCGATTGACTAGTAGATGTGATTGAAAATTTAATTATGAGAAGTAAGTCGCAATTAATAATCAGGAACAGCCGGTTGGGAAGAACAAAAGATTCAAAAACTCACCGATAGGTATGGTATATACCTTTGTCCCACGGCACTCGTTAAAATCTGCGTCGGACAGTCCCGACTTTTCCTCTTTGATCTGTATTTTATTCGTGTCGCTTACTCTGACTTGGTTTTCAGCAAAACGCGTCGCAAAAGCACTTCCAACCACGCCTTCAGTTTGGAGCCGTCTCCTTCCTGAAATTTATTTATTCTGTGGTCACCACTCCACGTAATTACAGTACCTGCGAGAAAAATAATAGTATACTGATTGTTCATGTATGATGTGTAGTATTATATAACAAAGTACGCTAATAGGAAACATGTAATAAAATCGGCTTATTCAGTGATTTGTCTGAACTTACTCGTGTTTGCCCGCATAACAGTACCACTGTTAGGAGAGGCAAAGCTTCCTCTTTGAAATCATTTTTGTTTAACGTCGATCCGACTTTCCGTTTCAGAGATATCGTTATTTAAAGAAAGGCGTCATTTTTCTAATTTCACTATCACTCGCGCGTCGTGTTGACCTAACCTAATCACGTCACCTGGAGAGTAGCCAACGAATAGCTAACAAAGAAGCCATTGAATATAACAACTATTATAATTTATAGACTTTTATGTTTATTTCTAAATCTACTTTGACAAACTCCTTTTCCACGTTTATTAGAGTATCCGTTGGAATATTTTCACACACAGTTTGAAGTCTGTTTTGTAAATCTGCAGTGCTTCGTAGCGATATTTTATAAATCTGTTGTTTGATGTAACCCCCACAAAAAAAAAATGGCGTCATTCTATCGATAACACTGTTCAACACGAATTTTGTTTTTCCGTACCCACTAGGTGATTCTTGTAGAGCTCTGTTTCCTAAACACGAATGTGAAAATGGAATTGCTGTATCACCCTCAGTTTTCGAAAAACACGAGTTTTTGCGAAAACGTCCAATTTTTGGCAAAAACGAGGTATTACGCGAAAATTAAAAACATCAGACAGTTCCGCTTAATCTTAAAAGATAGAGGAGAGATTCCTGAATATGCTAACATCGATAGTTATAATATTTTGTGCTTTTGAACGGTTGTAAATGATCGCCAAAGTTTGAAAAAGTGTCGAAGTACGTACTTTATACACAATACTTTTGCATATTTACGAAGTTCTTTACCTGACACGAATTTTATACACAGGATCCGATTCTGCAGACATTTCTGAAGAAGCAACTGTCCAACAGAAGTGTAAAAGCCGTTCTCAATTGTCACAGGTCGAAAAAATGTGTTGGGAACGCGTGCAGGACGTTTTACCGCCACGCGGCCATCGCTTGCCTACCTCGGCGCGGCAGTGCCGTAGCTACCTACAAGCGAAACTGGTATAATGGTGCAATAGGGTATGCACTCTGTATACAGGATGCTCGGCCACCCTTGGGAAAAATTTTAGTGGAGGATTCTAGAGGCCAAAATAAGACGAAAATTAAGAATATTAATTTGTTGATGGAGGCTTCGTTAAAAAGTTATTAACAATTAAATTCAAAAATTTCAAATCGTTCTGGAAAAATTATTTTAGGTTGCAGGGTCAATTATAATCAGTTTCGGTGAATAGACATACCCCCGAATTCCTAACCATTTACGAAACAAAAATTCGAGAAGGTGTGAAATTTTTTGACTTAATTAAAAAATTTCAAATCGTCGTGGAAAAATTATTTTTAGTTGCAGGAGTCAATTACTATCATTTTTTATCATTAGACATACCCTCAAAATCCTATCCACTTTCGAGAAAAAAATTTGAGAATGTGTGAAATGTTTCGACGGGGAAAAAAAATTTCGAATCGTTCTGAAAAAATTATTTTCAGTTCGAATAGCTAACAAAGAAGCCATTGAATATAACAACTATTATAATTTATAGACTTTTATGTTTATTTTTAAATCTACTTTGACAAACTCCTTTTCCACGTTTATTAGAGTATCAGTTGGAATATTATCACACACAGTTTGAATTCTGTTTTGTAAATCTCAAGTTCTTTACCTGACACGAAATTTATACACAGGATCCGATTCTGCAGACATTTCTGAAGAAGCAACTGTCCAAGAAAAGTGTAGAAACCGTTCTCAATTGTCACAGGTTGAGAAAATGTTGTTCGGCAACGCGTGCACGGCGTTTTACCGCCACGCGGCCATCGCTAGGCTACCTCGGCTCGGCAGTGCCGTAGCTACGCATAATGGATGCAACACCGATAATATCTTAGGCTCCCAATTCCTGTATATGTTTATCATTTTTGATTCTTTAATCTGTTTGTGGATTTGTAAAAAACATTTCTCGATCATTTCCATTTCTAAACAATTTCGATGCTCATTGTATGTATATGAATGGTTTATTAAATATAAAGCCGTAAAAAAATAAACAACATTTTATTGTTGGGTTGGAAGAATAGGAATAGGAATAATATTCCCAAGAGCGAAGTGTGAATAGCAAGGATTTACTCGAGATCTTTCTAAGAAAAGCGTACACGATCGAGTGATTCCATTGATTAGTTTACATGGATTTTGAGAATATAATTCAGTGATTGGTACCATAGAGTATACAAATATATTAAGCAATAAAAGTTACAAAAAAAATCAAACATACTATACAGGGTGCTCGGCCACCTATGGGAAAAATTTTAATGGGAGATTCTAGAGGCGAAAATAAAACGAAAATCAAGAATACCAATTTGTTGATTGAGGCTTAGTTAAAAAGTTATTAACGTATAAAGTTTCGCCTGTACTGAATTTTTTTCTCAAAAATGCACAGGATTTCGGGGGTATGTCTATTCACCAAAAATGATTGTAATTGACCCCCGCAATCGAAAATCATTTTTCCAGAACGATTAGAAACCTTTCATTTTCCCTGAAAAATTAAGGCACCTTATTGATTTTTCTTAAAAATTCGTTTTTCATTTTTAGTAATTTTGTTTGACGCCCTACAGAAATGTTGTCTAATACTTTTTTGTAGGTGCCCATGAGCTCTACTTTAGAAAAAAGTTTCATCGAAATATATTCACTATTGTAGGAGTTACGGCTGTTTGAAAATTCGACCATTTTTATGCGGTTTTTCTCATTTTGCGGAGTCAAGAAATAACTTTTCGAATATTTTTGGAATTGCCACGTATTCCTTAGCAAAATACGCGTAGTTTGCTTTTTTAAATATTAAAATCGTCCAATCCGTTCAGGAGTTATGACATTTTAAACATTTTTCGGGGTAGCATTTCTGGCCAGAAACTATATTTTCGGTAATGAATTTTTTTCTCGAAAGTGCGTAGGATTTCGGGGGTATCTCTATTCACCATAAATGACTGTAATTGACCCCTGCAACCGAAAATAATTTTTTTAGAACGATTTGAAATTTTTTAATTTTCTCGAAAAATTTCAGCATCTTCTCGAATTTTTTTCTAGAAAATGCGCAGAATTTCGAGGGTATGTCTATTCACCAAAAATTATTGTAATCGACCCTCGGAACTGAAAATAATATTTTCAGAACGATTCGAAATTTTTTTCTCCCGTCGAAACATTTCACACATTCTCAAATTTTTTTCGCGAAAGTGGATAGGATTTTGAGGGTATGTCTAATGAAAAAAATGATAGTAATTGACTCCTGCAACTAAAAATAATTTTTCCACGACGATTTGAAATTTTTTAATTATCGCGAAAAATTTCAGCATCTTCTCGAATTTTTTTCTAGAAAATGCGCAGGATTCGAGGGTATGTCTATTCACCGAAACTGATTATAATTGACCCTGCAACCTAAAATAATTTTTCCAGAACGATTTGAAATTTTTGAATTTAATTGTTAATAACTTTTTAACGAAGCCTCCATCAACAAATTAATATTCTTAATTTTCGTCTTATTTTGGCCTCTAGAATCCCCCACTAAAATTTTTCCCAAGGGTGGCCGAGCACCCTGTATACAGAGTGCATACCCTATTGCACCATTATACCAGTTTCGCTTGTAGGTAGCTACGGCACTGCCGCGCCGAGATAGGCAAGCGATGGCCGCGTGGCGGTAAAACGTCCTGCACGCGTTCCCAACACACATTTCTTCGACCTGTGACAATTGAGAACGGCTTCTACACTTGTATTGTACAGTTTCTTCTTCAGAAATGTCTGCAGAATCGGATCCTGTGTATAAAATTCGTGTCAGGTAAAGAACTTTTCGTAAATATGCAATAGTATTGTGTATAAAGTACGTACTTCGACACTTTTTCAAACTTTGGCGATCATTTACAACCGTTCAAAAGCACAAAATATTATAACTATCGATGTTAGCATATTCAGGAATCTCTCCTCTATCTTTTAAGATTAAGTGGAGCTGTCTGATGTTTTTAATTTTCGCGTAATACCTCGTTTTTGCCCAAAATTGAACGTTTTCGCAAAAACTCGTGTTTTTCGAAAACTGAGGGTGATACAGCAATTCCATTTTCACATTCGTGTTTAGGAAACAGAGCTCTACAAGAATCACCTAGTGGGTACGGAAAAACAAAATTCGTGTTGAACAGTGTTATGGAACAACTTTTCGTATAATATACGTATACTATACGTCACTGAGTAGAGTTTCTCATGCCGAGTGAGATCCACTACCGCGCGCACGCAGCTCCGCGCAGGTTGCCTATTTACAGACGCAACTGTAAACGTTAATAACTTCATAACGAAGTCTCAATCAACAAATTGGTATTCTTGATTTTCGTCTTATTTTTGCTTCTAGAATCTCCCATTAAAATATTTCCCAATGGTGGCCCCTTAAGAAAAAACATTGTCTTTTATATTAATTTTGACACCTTAACATTGATTTTTTCCGCATTCGGCTAATTCAACTGGCTTGAATGCTTTGTATATATTTTGATACTGTTTTACTTTCACATTTTTCATCTTCAAACATTTTAAAAAAATGTATGCATTCAAATCGGAAATTTAATGGTAAAAATGTACTTTTGAATTTTTCGTATTTGTCCTCTATTAAGCTAAAATCCTAGAATTTTTTTATTCAATAGAAAATTAAGATCCCCTTAATTTTTGTAATAAAATTGTATTTTCTTTTTTTTTTTCATAAATCGATGCATCGTTGTATCCTCTTGAAAAAAGTATTGGAGGCTTTAGGTCGAAAATTGAATAGTTTAGGAGTTATTAGTTTAGTCCTGAACTCTCATATACAGAGTGTTCGGCCACACCGGATGAAATTTTAATGGGAGACTCTAGAGGCCAAACTAAGACGAAAATCAAGAATACCAATTTGTTGTCTGATGCTTCGTTAAAAAGTTATTAACGTTTTGAGTTCCGCCTGTAAAACGGTCTATGAACAGCTGCGCATGCGCGATAGTGATTCTCACTCAGAAGACTGTAAGTCTGTCGATACGTCACTGAGTAGAGTTTCTCATGCTGAGTGAGATCCGCTATCGCGCGCACGCTGCTCTGCGCAGGTTGCCTATTTACAGGCGCAACTGTAAACGTTAATAACTATTTAACGAAGCCTCGATCAACAAATTGGTATTCTTCATATTCGTCTTATTTTGGCATCTAGAATCTGTCATTAAATTTTTTGTTCCACTTATAACACTTATCTTTGTCTCTTATTTATGACAGTAGAAGACTGTTCCAAATATGGTTTATATACGCCATTTATACTCGATAACAGCTATATATCGTATCGACACGATTGAAAATGAAGGTTTAGAGTGAATGGAGCGTTTCAAAGGAAACTACATGTGTTTAAATTAATTTAACACAATTTCTCTCTCATTAGGTACCAGGTGGCGAAAATATCGCGTTCACGTTCCTATCAAACGGACAAAATTATTCGTCGAAATGGAAAAATTTCAAATAATTCTGAAAAAATTATTTTTAGTTGCAGGAGTCAATTACAATCATTTTCGGTGAATAGACATATCCCAAAAATCCTACTCAGTTTCAAGAAAAAAATTCAGGAATGTGGACAAATTTTTCGTCGAAATGGAAAAATTTCAAATAATTCCGAAGAAATTAGTTTCAGTAAAACGGTAATCTATGAACAGCTGCGCACGCGCGATAGTGATCCTCACTCGGAAGACTGTAAGTCTGTCGATACGTCACTGAAGTAGAGTTTCTCATGCTGAGTGAGATCCGCTACCGCGCGCACGCAGCTCCGCGCAGGTTGCCTATTTACAGGCGCAACTGTAAACGTTAATAACTATTTAACGAAGCCTCGGTCAAGAAATTGATGTTCTTGATTTTCGTCTTATTTTTACCTCTGGAATCACCCATTGAAATTTTTCCCAGGACGAACACCCTTTATATTCATTGTACATATAATAAACGTCTAAGGCCCGTTTAAAAATAAATAATGATAATAATCAATGTACCGCTAGAATAATTGGCAGAAATGAAATGGTAAAGAGAAGAAAATTAATTTATTAAAGTTATAATCTTGTGGTTTGTACATTACGACGACTCCGCTTAAAATTAATTATAAAAAAAAGAGAGTGATGATTTTGACGTACATCCAGTCTTAAAGAGGTAACTACACTTTCCGTTCGTGTGATTACAATGATTCGATTAAAATAATTACAACCTGAAAGCAAACAACTGCTCTATAACTGCGATCGCTCTGTAACGAGTACATTCAACATAGTTACGTTTACAACACGTTCGATTTGTGCGATATGGGCGTGGTTCGTTTATCGTGGTTGCATGCAGTTTCAAACTCTCCCCGATAACACATAACGTGACATAATGAGTGTCTCTAAAGTGTAATGAATATACGATACAACTGGACAAGTCGATAGTATTATATAAATGGCTTCGTTGATGGCGAAGATTATGCGAATATAAATAAGAAATAAATACGATTATTGAGGGATGAGTCATGGGTAACGCTTCTGTACAGCGTGATATGGAAAAGCCTCATGTAAAAAACTAAGTTCTACGCGACTTTGGAAGATATATCTCGTTTTGATGGCACTTCCGCTATATTCGTACGACGTGTACGACGTCTCAACGATTAGTACGATGCTAAAACTAGTTCCGATTCGGAAGCAGTCCGGTTTAATAATTAATTCTACGTCGTTAGATAAATAAAAAGTTTGCTTTCAGTAAATATAGATCAAAATATTTCTATGTCCATTTGATAGTCGATTATTACATTCTTATTACACCGAATATGGACGTAGACTATGCGCTTCGCGCGCACACTGGCAAGAAGGAATGTCGACGGGAAGTTACGATAAAATGGTAACCCCGGCATTTATTAAATATATCGTTAATATCTTTGGCAGTGATCCCAGTCGATCGTTAGACGCGATTTTTCTCAGGATCGATATGATTTCACTGGTTTGTTCATTTCGTATGGCGATAACGTCTAAAAGTGTCGTAAAAGCGATCTCGAACAGCTAAACGTTCGGCATCTGTAGAAGTGTCGATAAAAGACATCGGCCAAGCTCTTCGGCTGTGCGCTCGAATAACGTTTATATGTATAACGTGTGCCTAACAGTTACTTCCCCTAATGAAAACTTACGCGACGCTCCGGTACATTCGATCATACGAATTATCACAATGCCCGATAACGAATCGAATGTTCTCCCGTTCGAGACGCTCTATTGCACCCTGTGGACATTCTTCACATTTCGCGAGCACCACTTCGCGCCTGTGTCTGCCGTGTGTTCACGGAATCAGTGAACATTGGCGATCTCTTGAAGCATCCCGAGAATATGATCAAGCTCTTGCCGGAAGTAGCATAACTGTCGATTTTTACCCTTCTCGTTTTTACAGTCTTTACACTGCGTTCGATTTCGAAGCAAATCGCGCACCAAGGACTGCAGTGTCATTTCCCGGCTTTCGTGTCGTTGCTGAAGAAGCGTGATCTTGTCCTGCAGTAACTGTAATTGTTCCGTGCTCTAAAACGAAGATGGAGAAATTGTTAGAAATCGAAGAATCAAATCAAAATTTCAATTACAATTGAAAAGTCAAATATCAACTGAATACACTGATACAAATAGCAATTGGTGAACTGAGAGCCACCTCTGGGAAAGATTATAATGGGAGATTCTAGAGGCCAAAATAAGACGAAAATCAAGTATACCAATTCGTTGATTGATGCTTTGTTTTAAAGTTATTAACGTTTAAAGTTCCGCTTGTAGAACGGTGATTTGTGGAAAGCTGCGTGTGTGCGATAGTGGAACTTTAACACTAGATTGCCCAAGGAAGTCATTTTGACTGCTTTATAATTTCAATTAGAAAAACAATTATGTATATAATGACACAATTTCTTAGAATTTTGTGACTTTTTGTACAACATATAAATGCGTTTATTAATAATTGTAGTTACCTTTCCCCTCCTTCATTTCCGGTATATATATATGTTATACCTATATTGCCCAAAAAAGCAGTCATTTTGACTGCTTGGGAAATTTTAAATAATCAAATGACTCTTATTATTGAATTGAGTAAATTTCTTATATGACCAGATCGACTCTCTATTGAAATAACAGTTTTCATTTTTTTTCGATTACCAACACATGATAACATACAAGAACATGATAAATTGTCGATTTGGGCTTACCTAACCCAGACCTAACCCAGATCTAATCCAGACCTAACCGAGACATAACCTAGACCTAACCCAGACCTAACCCAGACTTAATTCAGACTTATTCCAGACCTAACCCAGACCTAACCCAGACCTAACCCAGACCTAACTCAGACTTAATTCAGACCTAATCCAGACCTAACCCAGACTTAATTCAGACTTATTCCAGACCTAACCCAGACCTAACCCAGACCTAACTCAGATCTAACTCAGATCTAATCCAGAACTAACCCAGACCTAACCCAGATCTAGGGTCTGGGTTAGGTCTGGGTTAGGTCTGGGTTATGTCTGGGTTAGGTCTGGGTTAGGTCTGGGTTAGGTCTGGATTAGATCTGAGTTAGCTCTGGGTTAGGTCTGGGTTAGGTCTGGATTAGATCTGAGTTAGGTCTGGGTTAGGTATGGATTAGATCTGAGTTAGCTCTGGGTTAGGTCTGGATTAGATCTGAATTAGATCTGGGTTAGGTCTGGTTTAGGTCTGGGTTAGGTCTGGGTTAGGTCTGGGTTAGGTCTGGATTAGATCTGAATTAGATCTGGGTTAGGTCTGGTTTAGGTCTGGGTTAGGTCTGGGTTAGGTCTGGATTAGATCTGAGATAGGTCTGGGTTAGGTCTGGATTAGATCTGAATTAGATCTGGGTTAGGTCTGGTTTAGGTCTGGGTTAGGTCTGGGTTAGGTCTGGGTTAGGTCTGGATTAGATCTGAATTAGATCTGGGTTAGGTCTGGTTTAGGTCTGGGTTAGGTCTGGGTTAGGTCTGGATTAGATCTGAGATAGGTCTGGGTTAGGTCTGGATTAGATCTGAGTTAGCTCTGGGTTAGGTCTGGATTAGATCTGAATTAGATCTGGGTTAGGTCTGGATTAGTTAATAATCCAAATTATCTTAACCCTTTGCACTCCTATGTCGAGTGTGATTCGACATCAATTTTGATCTCAGGAGCACCTTCGTCAAGTCTCACTCGACATTCTTTCAAGTCCAAACCAAACAGATATCATACACTTGGGAATTACAAAATACAACAACAGTGTAAATGAGACCTAACCCAGACCTAACCCAGATCTAATCCAGACCTAACCCAGATCTAATCCAGATCTAATCCAGACCTAACCCAGATCTAATCCAGACCTAACCCAGACCTAACTCAGATCTAATCCAGACCTAACCCAGACCTAACTCAGACCTAACCCAGACCTAACCCAGACCTAACTCAGATCTAATCCAGACCTAACCCAGACCTAACCCAGATCTAATCCAGATCTAATCCAGACCTAACCCAGATCTAATCCAGACCTAACCCAGACCTAACTCAGATCTAATCCAGACCTAACCCAGACCTAACTCAGATCTAATCCAGACCTAACCCAGACCTAACCCAGACCTAACTCAGATCTAATCCAGACCTAACCCAGACCTAACTCAGATCTAATCCAGACCTAACCCAGACCTAACCCAGACCTAACCGAGATCTAATCCAGATCTAATCCAGACCTAACCCAGATCTAATCCAGACCTAACCCAGACCAAACTCAGATCTAATCCAGACCTAACCCAGACCTAATCCAGACCTAACCCAGACCTAACCCAGACCTAACCCAGATCTAATCCAGACCTAACCCAGATCTAATCCAGATCTAATCCAGACCTAACCCAGATCTAATCCAGATCTAACCCAGACCTAACCGAGACCTAACTCAGATCTAATCCAGACCTAACCCAGATCTAACCCAGACCTATTGATAAATTACAGTTTCTCAATAAGCTAAAGTAGTACTTGTTATTCGAATCTTTATGCAGTGATACTTGTTCTAACAAGTTGTTTATTTTATTTCTGCGCCCTCAATTCATAATATTATACCATAATATTAAAAATTAATTTTAAACAAATTTCTTTACACATTAATTATTCTTTCACGATGCAGTCATTTTGACTGTTTTTGGGCAATATAGTTATATACTAAGTTTCAGTCTTTCTAGTGTTAAACGTTAATAACTTTTTAACGAAGCCTCAATCAGCAAATTGATATTCTTAATTTTCGTCTTATTTTCACCTCTAGAATCTCCCATTAAAATTAAAACTTTGTTCGCCAAATAAAATAAAATAAAAAAAAAAAGACACAAAATCTATGCAAAAGATATATGTCAAGCAGGTCATGAGGGCAAAATTCAATGATAAAGGCTGTTTTACAATCTCAAAATGATCGTAACTTCAAAAATTCAAACGTTATTTTGTAAATAAAAGTAGTAAATGATACATTGATACAGTAGTAAGTGATTTGTATCGTGCAAAAGAAAGCTTTATCAGAAATATTAATTAAGTATATTAGTGAAACTTGAAACGTTAATAACTTTTCAACGAAGCCTCCATCAGCAAATTGATATTCTTATAAGTTACAAAAGTTATTTAAAAAAGGCACTATTAGAAGAGAGGCTGAAAATTACTCTTGAAACTACGAAGATACAAGTCGAATCAATAAATAAAAGTAGTAAATGATACATTGATGCAGTAGTAAGTGATTTGTATCGTGCAAGAAAAAGCTTTATCAGAAATATTAATTAACAATCATACAAAACGATATATGAAAATGATAGATAATGATCTACATATTTGAGAAAATATGCTCGTAATTATATGTACTATAATTTATTTATCGAACAAAAAGTGATCTATTGAACGCAGAAGTAATTGTTATATTTCGTTCTGTTCGTCTTTAGATGATAATTCTTCAATAAAATAGTCATTATGAAAATTCTAGGGCAAATATATTAATAATCTCTGCTTGTATTCATCCGGATCTTATCAAATAAAAGAAGTTATAATATATTATGCGGACCATTTCAAAAACCATAGCATTTTTAAACTTCAAATAGGAACGCCTTCTATGTTCGTTAAGTCCCAAGTTCATAAAAGTCATATCGATTTGAATCCCAATAATAGTATTCTATTTAAAACGTAAAGGTATTCAGACCACGTCAACTGTTTAAAATATTTTGTTCGCATATTAATCGACAGAAATAATAGTGGACTCTTTTTTATCAATTGTTGGACATACTTGCGACTGCAAAATTGACCAACGTGTTGTAGATTGTTGTTCACATGTTGTAACAATATCGTGGTTCTTCGAGTTTGTTCGACACCAAATTTCCATACGTTCAATGATTACTTTAGTGAGGAATTATCATCTGAAGGAGAACAGAACGAAATGTAACAATTATTTCTTCGAGTTTGACGCATTGCTTTTTGTTTCGCAAGTTATAGTATAATTGCACATGCAATCCACAGAATGTATGCACCGTTATCTTCTATTTCATTTCATTGCTCTCTATGATTATTAATAAGTACTTCTGGCAATGTTTTTTACATACAATACCGATATCAATTTTTATCTACTAAATATCATCGAACTATTGTATTTCATACGTTTATTTCCAATTTAAGTTATCGTTCCAATTCAATGATCTATAATTCTTTTTTCGCTTTCCACTTTATTCATTATTTTGCAATTTATTCCACTTTCCACTTCATTCATTATTTATATTTCCCGTAAATAATTGTGCTTTCATAATTTCTTTGAATCTCTAAAATAATTATTAAAATTTTAGATGCCGAAACCCAAACCTGCCAAAAATTTGATCATTTAAAAAAAAAGCCTTTTCATTATTTATGATTGCAAATTGGGGGTTATTTTGTCCATATTTACCTCTTTTAACAGAAATCGTTTCATTGATAATTTATTCGATGTTCTTAATAATATAATTGTTTTTTTTTTTTTATGTAAGGTTTTACGTCACATCACATCGTGGTCATTAGTGTTACTGTGTTGGTCTTAGATTTTGAAGAGGTTGGTTTCGTTGAGAAATTCGTTTCTTACGTGTTCTTAACACTTTACCGACCGATAGCCTATTAATCGACTGTTTTACCGGCCAACGCTTACCGACCGATAGCCTATTAATCAACTGTTTTATCGGTCGGTAAAGTGTTAAATAAATGTTATTTTTCTATTTTTTCCATTGATTATAATTCCTTTCTAGTCCCTTTCACGTGGTATCATTAACATTTAGAAATCATTAGTTACAACTACGAAACTCTTGAAAATTATAGTGGTGCTATAGTTATGCACCATTGCAATATTTCATTTATCATTATACTTCATGTTAACACATTACCGACCGATAGCCTATTAATCGACTTCTTTACCGACCAACACTTACCGACCGATAGCGTATTAACCAACTTCTTTACCGACCAACGCTTACCGACCGATAGCCGATTAATCAACCGCTACCGGTCGGTAAAGTGTTAAGTATTGGCTCAGAGTACTTTCTACTTCATTAATATGCAGCATCTGATGAAACATGATCCTGACCTTTTATGTAACACTATTTGACACGATTTGCCAATAGATCTTCTTTTTAAATTGAGAACCGCTTTATAAAATACACAAATTTGTACAAACTTGCAAATATTTTAATAAGCAAAGCTTTATGGATAAATTTAACACCGAAAAATAAAAAAAAGTTCATACAAAGGTATGATTTACTTTGCTTATGTTCCTGAATTATAGTCAATTTTATGTTCTAATGATTAAGTTTAGGAACGTCATTTAATATTTCATGTATGATCTTGCTAACAAGTAGAAATGCTACCTCGTAGTGTTCAACGAGAATTGACAATTTCTTTCCTTCGGAAGGACGCAGTTTAGTTATGTAACTGAATAATTCTCTAATGACCAATTTGTTGACAAATTGATACGTCATGCAGGACCTTATTGCTTCATCTACTTAACCTCTAGATTTGGACATTGAAACACTTTGTTAACGTAATCAACATGTTAATTAAAATAATTTTTGGAATTGTCGACTTTATCTTAACACATTACCGACCGATAGCCTATTAATCGACTTCTTTACCGGCCAACGCTTACCGACCGATAGCGTATTAATCAACTGTTTTACCGACCAACGCTTACCGACCGATAGCCGATTAATCAACCGCTACCGGTCGGTAAGGTGTTAAATAAATGTTATTTTTCTATTTTTTCCATTGATTATAATTCTTTTCTAGTCCCTTTCGCGTGGTATCATTAACATTTAGAAATCATTAGTTACAACTACAAAACTCTTGAAAATTATAGCTAATTTTAATTTTGTAAATCCTCGTTTTACGTTAGTTAAAAAAAGGAAGCTTTAGCATACGATAATTGTTTATATTATGTTTTAAACGTATCTTTCGTGTATAAGACGTTCGCTGCGTACAAAATAATCCGCACAGAAAGCGCATGTTTCGTGCAAATACTATTAAAAGATTGCACACACTACATCTAACGATTTTGTCTTAACTATGCAATTGTTAATTGCAATTTCAATTGGCAATTGATCAATTATACCTGCTGCAAGCAATTAACCTTCAATTTAATTACATTTTATCCAGCAACGAGTCAAGACGACACTACAAAGCATGCATTCTTCTGTACATACCGGAGTCGACAGGTATTTGATTTTCTCATTCAACGTTTTCACTTTGTTTTCCAAATGTTCACGTTCCACCTTCAGAACGACCACTTGCTCCTTGTAATCCCTTAACTTCTCAATTTGCTGTTTCAAGTGCGATATTACAGCCACCTGAGTGTTTATCTGGCCCTGTCGACACAAAAGTAACAACCTATGTGATTGTACATCTAGAAACAGACGTACTACGTGCAAGCATTTAGTAACAAAGGAATCGAATACGCAAATGAAAGATAACAGTCAATACTGCACGTAATACTACGAACCTGCAACTTTACCACTTTAGAGTCTCCGAGTTTAACACTGTACTCCTTCAGCAAGCTGGCCATCTCGCGTTCGTGTTCCTCTTGCAAGAGATTCAAATCGTGCAGCCTTTTATTCTTCAACGCCATGAAGTCCTTGTTCATCTTGTTCAATTCTTCCTTCAAAATATCATTCTCATCGGTTAATCTCTTCACAAGATTATTGTCCCCATTTTCTGTATACTGTAAAGGGTCGTACAGCTTTTGCACAGAGGCAGACAGTCGCTGTGTGTTCGTATCAGACATGTGACCGTTCTGGTAAAAGTTTGAATTCTGATCGTTCCCTTCCGTAGATCTCAAGCTCAGCAGCTTGGAATCGGAGGACACCATACCTCGATTCTTCTCAAAATCTATCGTCTTGATAGACCTTCTGTCGTTCAACAGTTTCTCCCTCTCCTTCTGTAATCTTTTATTCGTTTTCTGCAATTCCTGAAACTCTTTGGTAATCTTTAACACAGTTTTATCCTTGTTCGTCAATTCCAATTTCAATCCTCTTATCGTGGCCAAAAGATGAGCGTCTTCCTTGGAACTCTGAGTCTTTGCGCCAACTTTAATCAGCGGTTTTTCTTTCTCGAATGATCCAGCTCTTTCTTCCTTCCTAACAGTCTCTACGCTCTTGTTCTCCACAGGTTTCGACAATGTTTGAGTGAACATATCGTTGCACACTTTGCGATCCTTTATATTCACTTCCAACAGTTTCTCCTCCAGCTCCATTATCTGAGTAATGTATTTCTCCTTCATATCAGCAAACTTTTTCTGGAATTCCTCTAACTTCGTCTGCGCTAAATCATCCTTCGCCTTAATTTCATTCTCTAGACTTGCGATTCGCTCCTCCAACAACCTGAGCTTCTCTGCGCCAATTTTGTCTTGCTCAGAATTCGCAGTCAATATAAGAGCAGACACAGAGTCGGGATTCTTTCTTTTGAGTATCCTTTCCATTTCGCGCACTTGTCTGTTCAAATCAGTGATTTTCTTGCTGCCTAAAATCACTTGGTCTTTAAGCTTCTGCGTCAACTGTTTCTCACGTTCTACGTGGCTTTTAGCTACCCGTAGCTTATCATAGAGTGCGCCTTCTTTGACTCGAAGCTCCAGCAATTCCTTCTCCAACGGAAGCACATTTTGCTGAAGTTTGTCGAACTCCAGTTTCACTATTCGCAGCTGCTCGGTCTTAGAACTCAATTTCACGGTCAGATCCTCCACTTGTTTCTTCAATTCCAATTCCGCTGAAGTCATGGCTTGCAATCGATTAGTGATGAAGTCATTCTTCGTTCTCAGTTGATCCTTGAACATATTTAATTCATCGTTCAACAAACCATTCTGCTGATACAAGTCTTCGTTCTTCAGCGCACAATCAGCATTCTTCTCTCTGAGCTGGGAAACTTCTAACTTAAGTTTCAGAGCTTCTTCTTCGAGATCCTTGACTTTATCCGCAAGCTCTTGCATTTTATTCGATTCCAACGCAGTACTCTTTTGCTTCTGCAGCTTCTTCATTTCCTCTTGCATACGTTTCGCATCTTGCAGCAACTTTTTGTTCTCCGTCTCGTAAGCACAAATCAAGTTCTCTTGTTTCTCCAGCTCCTTCTCCAAAAGCAGAAGCTTCGTGTCCTTTTTAGGTTGGGACTCTGGACGTTTCTCATTCAACGAATACTCGTCTACCTTCGCCTTCAAAATTATGTTCTGCTTCTTCAGTGCGAACAATTCTTCCTCAAAAGATATCCGCATGTTATCTACTTGGTTTTTATACATTTTTATCTCAGATTCTAACCGCTGTTTCAAAAGAGTATTTTCATGTCTTTGTTGACGACATAATATTTCCCAATTTTGCTTCGTTAGATTCTGTTTGTTATCGCCACCAGCCATCATGGATTTTACATGGCTGTCCGGTGACTTCACTCTGTACCCTTTGTACGTGGAAGACAAAGTAGGGGTAGAACCAGTCTTAATATCCTTTTTTGGCTTCGGAGATGATCTGGTCGTAGGAGAGATTTTTGTAATCGGTTTGATCGTAGGCTGCAACTTTGGCTTTAATATCGTTGATCTTTTTCCAGTATCTGAAGCTTTAGATGCCCTTACGTTTTCTACGGAAGTTCTAAAATGTGGCTTGCAAATCTGATCGTAACTTTTAGACTTGGAAAACTTCGTTTCTTTCTTCTGTTGTTTAGCACCCGAAGTGCTAGCTGCGTAGTTGTATTTTCGTTCTAAATTGCTACGTTGAGTATTTGCATTGATGCTACTTTTAATCTCGGAACTGGATGTTGCTTTACGTATGTTCGTTTTGACATTTTCTGAAGCTTCTTTGATTTGTTGCGTTGCATTCTCTATTGTCCTCTCAGCCAATAATTTCGGGATTGCGTCTGCAAATAATTCTAATCTTGGCGTTAGACCAACTGTGTACAGCTCTTCCTTGGTATTAACTAATTTCCTACCATCCTTCGATACGTTTACTTGTTTCAGAGATAACTGCTCTTTCAATTCATTTTTATCGCTACTACTAACATTCTGAGATTGTTTAAGATTTTCTTCGACCATTCTAGAATCTGTTTGCGGTAGTTCTTTCTCTAATATATCGGAAATTTCTTTCTCAGGAAATTCGGGGCTCATATCGTTCGCGGATTCTCCTTCAACGATAGATGCTCTTTCGTTCATTGATTTGGAAAAAAACGCGTTTCCAGAATTGAACTCATTTGAGTCCTGTTCTATTTTATCAGTCTGACCTTGCAAAAGTTTTAAAAAATGGGAAAAATCCTCTTGTCCGAAGCTTGAGCTACCTGATATCCCACCGTCAGTTCGTTCTTTGGATCTGTTTAATAAATCTTCGAAAAAATCCTTATCTACGTCGATTATCTCCTTCTGCAGATTCTCCTTGTCCGATTCTATCTTTTTAGTACTCTTCAACTCTTCGGATTTGGAATGTCTGTCGATTGGATCGTCCAAATCAGAACTGCTCGATACCTCCACTTTCTGTTCTTCGAACTTTCTTCGTTGAAGCTCCAATGTTTTCGGTGCTTTCAAGCTATTTACGTTTTCATATATAACCTCAAATCCGGGACTGTTGTTCCGTTTCTTTTCATTCTTTGGGCTCTTTTTGATCTTCTCCGTTTCCTTGTGCACTTCCTCTTCTATCAATTGAAAGATATCCGCTTCTAATTGCCTAACTCTGTCGAGATTTTCTACGTCGTCTGGAATATTCTCAGGTACTAAAGTGTCAGATTTTGATCCGCTCTTGGACAAACTACTGCTATTCTTTCTAACAAGTTTCTCCGCTTCCTCCAACAGCTCTTCCACCGATTTCTCTTCTTCCGTTGGATTTTTAGTCGAGTTCCTAGATTTTGTACGATCCGGAGCTGAACTTGGACTGAGAGCACCAGCGATCTTGCTCATTTCTTCTAAGATACTTCCTATGTCGTCGTCAGTCGCATCTAAGCGTATAAATAAAGTTCTCAACCTGTTCGTACTTGACAAAATTGAATACAGAAATACTTACTTTCAAAATCAGAGGGATATTTATCGAATGCTGCGGAAGCCAAAATGTCGCACAAGGTGTCGTCTTTGTCTTTGATTTCGATTTCATTTTTATGCATGGCCTGCGTAAAGTAAAGAACACATATTTATTCAAATTCGCGTAATTCCTATCTGCGACAGAAATATAATTACTTTGCACATTTTCTCCTTTTCAAGAAATTCTTTCATCGAAGAACTAACGTCCGGTGACGGAGACGGAGATTGTTTCATCTTCCCTTCCATCGGAACGTTGGATATTTCGAGCCTGGTTTCTGGCTTCTTTAGCCACCATTTATCCTTTTTAGTTCTCCCATTTGGCTCGATTTCTTTGTCCACTTTGGGTTTCTCTTTTATTCTAACTGAATTCTCACCTATGCTGAGACTTATAGAAGAGCTGAAGGTATCATCTTCGGTTGATATTAGCTGTATATAAATGAAACATGTATGAAACCGGACTTCTTAGGGAGAAATAAAACTTGTGAATGTCTTTTTACACTTCGGTTAAAAAAAATTCTATGTACAAACTTGAATTTAATTGAAAATAATCGACGATATGCGAGAGTGTGTAATGCACTTTATAAAAACGTACAGGTTAATGTAACTCACATTTTCGGAGCGAGGAGACTTTTTTGAGTTCGAAGACATTCGGATTTCTTATTGACAATACTTTTGTGCAATTAAATCAGATTGATCGATCATTTTTTCAGAGTCGTTTTGACACCTGCCGTACTTTTTGTTTGTTTGTTAGATTTAATTCGCTCGATGGTCGCTTTGCAGCGACACTAGCGACCTCACCTATCCCAGTAACGTACAATGATTTCTGGAACCCTCGTACAAAAATTTATAAATCGCAAACATGACAACTGGCAAGAATAAACGGAAAAATATTTCTCACTTCTGCAATCACGATGTATTAACTAACTTATCGATATAGGGATATTAATATTTTGTTAAGATTGCAACTTTTTATTCGCGAAGAACATTTTTCATTTGAAAATAATAAACGCAGGGATAACGGATACACTTAGTACGCGATAAGAACGAAAAATAAAATTTGTGTTTCATAATGATGTAACAAATGAAAAGAAACAATAAGCATTTTGCATAAATTCAATTATTATACAAGGTGTTGAAAAATTTTAATGAGAGATTCTAGAGGTCAAAATATGTCGAAAATCAAGAATACTAATTTGTTGATGGAGGCTTCGTTAAATAGTTATTAACGTTTAAAGTTGCGCCTGTAAAAAGGCAATCTGCGCAGAACTTCGTGCGCGCGCGATAGTGGATCTCACTCAGCATGAGAAACTCTACTCAGTGACGTATCGACAGACTTACAGTCTTCCGAGTGAGGATCACTATCGCGCGTGCGCAGCTGTTCATAGATTACCGTTTTACTGAAACTAATTTTTTCGGAATTATTTGAAATTTTTCCATTTCGACGAAAAATTTGTCCACATTCCTGAATTTTTTTCTTGAAACTGAGTAGGATTTTTGGGATATGTCTATTCACCGAAAATGATTGTAATTGACTCCCGCAACTAAAAATAATTTTTTCAGAATTATTTGAAATTTTTCCATTTCGACGAATAATTTTGTCTGTTTGATAGGAACGTGAACGCGATATTTTCGCCACCTGGTACGTAATGAGAGAGAAATTGTGCTAAATTAATTTAAACACATGTAGTTTCCTTTGAAACGCTCGATTCACTCTAAACCTTCATTTTCAATCGTGTCGATACGATATATAGCTGTTATCGAGTATAAATGGCGTATATAAACCATATTTGGAATAGTCTTCTACTGTCATAAATAAGAGACAAAGATAAGTGTTATAAGTGAAACAAAAAATTTAATGACAGATTCTAGGGGACAAAATAAGACGAATATGAAGAATACCAATTTGTTGATTGAGGCTTCGTTAAATAGTTATTAACGTTTAAAGTTGCGCCTGTAAAAAGGCAATCTGCGCAGAACTTCGTGCGCGCGCGATAGTGGATCTCACTCAGCATGAGAAACTCTACTCAGTGACGTGTCGACAGACTTACAGTCTTCTGAGTGAGAATCACTATCGCGCATGCGCAGCTGTTCATAGACCGTTTTACAGGCGGAACTCAAAACGTTAATAACTTTTTAACGAAGCATCAGACAACAAATTGGTATTCTTGATTTTCGTCTTAGTTTGGCCTCTAGAATCTCCCATTAAAATTTCATCCGGGGTGGCCGAACACTCTGTATATGAGAGTTCAGGACTAAACTAATAACTCCTAAACTATTCAATTTTCGACCTAAAGCCTCTAATACTTTTTTCAAGAGGATACAACGATGCATCGATTTATGAAAAAAAAAAAGAAAATACAATTTTATTACAAAAATTAAGGGGATCTTAATTTTCTATTGAATAAAAGAATTCTAGGATTTTAGCTTAACAGAGGACAAATACGAAAAATTCAAAAGTGCATTTTTACCATTAAATTTCCGATTTGGATGCATACATTTTTTTTAAATGTTTGAAGATGAAAAATGTGAAAGTAAAACAGTATCAAAATATATACAAAGCATTCAAGCCAGTTGAATTAGCCGAATGCGGAAAAAATCAATGTTAAGGTGTCAAAATTAATATAAAAGACAATGTTTTTTCTTAAGGGGCCACCCCTGGGAAAAATTTTAATGACAGATTCTAGAGGCCAAAATAAGACGAATATGAAGAATACCAATTTGTTGATCGAGGCTTCGTTAAATAGTTATTAACGTTTAAAGTTGCGCCTGTAAATAGGCAACCTGCGCAGAGCTGCGTGCGCGCGGTAGCGGATCTCACTCAGCATGAGAAACTCTACTCAGTGACGTATCGACAGACTTACAGTCTTCTGAGTGAGATTGTAATTGAGTCCCGCGACGAAAAATATTTTTTTCATAATGATTTTAAATTTCTTAATTTAATTTTTTAATAACTTTTTAATGAAGTCAAGAAATTGATATTCTTGATTTTCGCCTCTACAATCTCCAATTAAAATTTTCGACCTATTCCCAATAAGCTTTTCTTACCATCTTTTCCACTAACCCCAAAATTACTATTTATAAGAAAAAAGAATACGTTAAACAAATTTCAGTTGGTTCCAATAACCACGCAAAGCAATATTGCGTATCAAATATACGGTTAGAAGTACGAAAGATTAATAGATGATGATACGAGTCACACTAAGTATATAGAATGGGTATCGTTCGTTAATAGTGATGATGACAGTGACAAACATTAATTTTACTATCATACAAAGACAACGTTGTACACAGAACATCTACGTATCACAGAATCCATGTAAATTACTATTTATAAGAAAAAAGAATACGTTAAACAAGTTGCAGTTGGTTCCAATAACCACGCAAAGCAATATTGTGTATCAAATATACGGTTAGAAGTACGAAAGATTAATAGATGATGATACGTGGCACACTAAGTATATAGAATGGGTATCGTTCCTTAATAGTGATGATGTCAGTGACAAACATTAATTTTACTATCATACAAAGACAACGTTGTACACAGAACATCTACGTATCACAGAATCCATGTATATGAATCTATATTTCTTCTATTTCATAAAATATACATATGTGTAATTTATATATAAATCTTTTAAACTTCGAAGGCGATCCGTGAATCTTTTATCTACATAAACTTTGAATCGTACATCGTAACGTTTGTCGTAACCATTTTATGTCAACGTCTGACAATCATTTGTAAATATATATATATCTTCGTTCATAAAAATAATAAGATGTTACATCAATGATAAATTCTATCGTATAAAATACATTACTTAGGTACATATTCATCGCTGGTTCATGCTATTGCACGACTTCCTGCATGCCCGTCCTAATATGTTTCGCAGTAATCCAAAACTTTTCAGACCCCCTGTACGTTTAATACAAATCATCTTCTGAAAATATTACGTATCGAGCAAAAATAAATCTCTATTCGATCACATTATTTTATAAAGCAGTTGCGATCAATGATAACACGTGTGTAGTTTAAATAACTCTCTGTTGATGAAGCTTAAATTACATTCCTCGCAAAAGTGCTTTAGATTGTTATCGATCAACTTTATCGATGCAGAGATCTTCTTCGTATTAACGATACCTCCGATTGTTTCCATGAGGGTTCTGCTGTTCGTTTTAGCTGCGCCAGTTATACTGCGCAGGTCTCTTCGTAACTTCTTGGTCGACAGATTCGTGGTTCTGACTTTCTTCACTTTTCCGTTTCTAAGAAAAAAGTCTTTACTTCTTAAATATTTCGGCGCATAACTTATCGTTGCAATTCGATCCAAGTCAATTTTTCCGGACTTCAAATTGTTTTTCGCGGCGTTACTCAAGGATTTTAGATTGTTGGCAACACTGAAATCAACATCGTGTTCCTCGCAGGTCAACAAACAATTTCTGTCGCTTTGTACGTTAAAGAGAAGATCGTTGGGCAATGCGTCGATGTTATCAGCTAGATTACCGATGCTCCTCGTTTTGTAATTCTTTGGCAGCGTTACGGACAATTTGTCGAAAACCATGTCCTCGAGATCGGAGTGCTGTTCCTGCTTCACCGCGAACCTAACCTTTTTCTTCGACGACACTTTAAAATTATTCACGATGTTCTGAACTCTGCCCTTGCTATTGTATTTACCACCTCGTGAAATTCGATTCTTTTTGTACTCGGAGTTCCTTCTCTGCGTTGTTCGATCGCAATAGTCGATCATTTTCTTTCTGGGCCGAAGTACGTGACCCTCGAAATCGTCGGGGTTTTCAGTTTTAATTTGCAATTTCGGGGCCATTTTCTTTCTAGTTCCCACATAGTCCACGAGACCGTTTCTAGGCCTCAAATTACGAACGTTTACTTCTTCCCTCGCGATCGATTTACATTTGGTATTGTGCACGTGATCGAAGCTGGAAGATGTTGGCCTACACCATCTCGAATTCTTTACATTTTCGTCGACACGCGTTGCGGGGTTCGAGCGTTCCTGAAACGTTTTACCGACTAAGGCATTTTCTTTTACAGCCCGTGACTCGTTGGCGCTGCCATCGGTTTCGGTTCCAACGTCGTTCAGCCTGTTGCACCTCGGCACCGTGCTCTCGTAATTCGTTGCCACGGTCTGATTACTTTGGTCCATTTTATCACAGCAGCGTCTGCATTGCGTGTAAGCGGCGTACGGGATATCGTTCGGCTGGAAAGTTACCGAGCTCATCGAGTTCATGTAGTTCGCGTTATCGACCATAGGGGTCGCGTCGTACGCGCCGTAATCCGGCGGCTCGAGCTTGATGTTCTCTATATGCACCATCGGTATACCGACCCTCTCCTTGGGATTCCCTTTCCGCATCCAGGACAGCTGACTCTTCAAACCAGCGTCCGTTTTTAAACAATCGACGTAGAACTTGTGAAACTCCTCCAACTTGTAGCTGCAACGATAGCACATGTGTTTCGGCAACAGATCCATCTCGTGCACCTGCGGGGGGATACATAATCGATAATTTCGTAATCTGTATTTAACGTGATCGCCCAATGATACAAACAAATATTTTATTTTTAATTTGATTTATAGGGTGTTCGATCAACCCTGAGAAAAATTTTAATGGGAGATTCTAGAGGCCAAAATAAGACGAAAATCAAGAATACTAATTTGTTCGTGGAGGCTCCGTTAAAAAATTATTAACGTTTAAAGTTTCGACCGTACTGAATTTTTTTTTAGAAAGTGGGTAGGATTTCGAGGGTACGTCTAATGACCAAAAATAATTGCAATTGACCCCCGCAACTAGAAATAATTTTTCCGGAACGATTTGAAATTTTTTAATTTTGTCGAAAAGTTTTACATATTCCCGAATTTTTTTCTTGAAAGTGGGTAGGATTTCGGGGATAGGTCTATTCGCCAAAAATGATTGAAATCAACCCCTGCAATCAAAAATATTTTTTCCAAACCGATTTGAATTTTTCTAATTTTGTCGAAAAATTTCTCATTTTCTCGAATTTTTTTCTCAAAAATGCGTAGGATTTCGGGGGTATGTGTATTAATAAAAAATGATTGAAATCGACCCTTGTAACTAAAAATAATTTTTTCAGAGTGATTTGAAGTTTTTTAATATCGTCGAAAAATTTGGGCACCTACCCCTATCGATTTTCCTAGTTTTTGATTTTTATTAATTTTGTTTGTCGCCCTATAGAAAAATTGTCTAATACTTTATTGTAGGTACTTATGAGCTCTACTTCGGGAAAAAGTTTCATTGAAATATATTCACTATTGCAAGAGTTATGGCTGTTTGAAAATTGGTCCCATTTTTATGGGGTTTTCGTCATTTTGCGTGGTCAAGGATCAACTTTTCGAATATTTTTGCGATTTCTAAATATTCTTCGCCAAAATACGCGTTGTTTACCGTTTGAAACATTAAAATCCTCCAATTCGTTCAGAAGTTATGACGTTTCAAAGATTTCCATGAAAATTCGCGAGACCATTTCAGGCTTCAGATTATATTTTTGGTAAAGAATTTTTTTCTCGAAAGTTTGTAGGATTTCGGGGATAGGTATACCCACCAAAAATGATTGTAATTGGCTCCTGCAAGCGACAATAATTTTTTCAGAATGATTTGAAGTTTTTTAATATCGTCGAAAAATTTGGGCACCTACCCCTATCGATTTTCCTAGTTTTTGATTTTTATTAATTTTGTTCGACGCCCTATAGAAAAATTGTCTAATACTTTATTGTAGGTACTTATGAGCTCTACTTCGGGAAAAAGTTTCATTGAAATATATTCACTATTGCAAGAGTTATGGCTGTTTGAAAATTGGTCCCATTTTTATGGGGTTTTCGTCATTTTGCCCGGTCATGGATCAACTTTTCGAATATTTTTGCGATTTCTAAATATTCTTCGCCAAAATACGCGTTGTTTACCGTTTGAAACATTAAAATCCTCCAATTCATTCGGAAGTTATGACGTTTCAAAGATTTCCATGAAAATTCGCGAGACCATTTCAGGCTTCAGATTATATTTTTGGTAAAGAATTTTTTTCTCGAAAGTTTGTAGGATTTCGGGGATAGGTCTACCCACCAAAAATGATTGTAATTGGCTCCTGCAAGCGACAATAATTTTTTCAGAATGATTTGAAGTTTTTTAATATCGTCGAAAAATTTGGGCACCTACCCCTATCGATTTTCCTAGTTTTTGATTTTTATTAATTTTGTTTGTCGCCCTATAGAAAAATTGTCTAATACTTTATTGTAGGTACTTACGAGCTCTACTTCGGAAAAAAGTTTCATTGAAATATATTCACTATTGCAAGAGTTATGGCTGTTTGAAAATTGGTCCCATTTTTATGGGGTTTTCGTCATTTTGCCCGGTCATGGATCAACTTTTCGAATATTTTTGCGATTTCTAAATATTCTTCGCCAAAATACGCGTTGTTTACCGTTTGAAACATTAAAATCCTCCAATTCGTTCAGAAGTTATGACGTTTCAAAGATTTCCATGAAAATTCGCGAGACCATTTCAGGCTTCAGATTATATTTTTGGTAAAGAATTTTTTTCTCGAAAGTTTGTAGGATTTCGGGGATAGGTCTACCCACCAAAAATGATTGTAATTGGCTCCTGCAAGCGACAATAATTTTTTCAGAATGATTTGAAGTTTTTTAATATCGTCGAAAAATTTGGGCACCTACCCCTATCGATTTTCCTAGTTTTTGATTTTTATTAATTTTGTTTGTCGCCCTATAGAAAAATTGTCTAATACTTTATTGTAGGTACTTACGAGCTCTACTTCGGAAAAAAGTTTCATTGAAATATATTCACTATTGCAAGAGTTATGGCTGTTTGAAAATTGGTCCCATTTTTATGGGATTTTCGTCATTTTGCCCGGTCATGGATCAACTTTTCGAATATTTTTGCGATTTCTAAATATTCTTCGCCAAAATACGCGTTGTTTACCGTTTGAAACATTAAAATCCTCCAATTCGTTCAGAAGTTATGACGTTTCAAAGATTTCCATGAAAATTCGCGAGACCATTTCAGGCTTCAGATTATATTTTTGGTAAAGAATTTTTTTCTCGAAAGTTTGTAGGATTTCGGGGGTATGTCTATCCACCAAAAATGATTGTAATTGACTCCTGCAAGCGACAATAATTTTTTCAGAATAATTTGAAGTTTTTTAATATCGTCGAAAAATTTGGGCACCTACCCCTATCGATTTTCCTAGTTTTTGATTTTTATTAATTTTGTTTGTCGCCCTATAGAAAAATTGTCTAATACTTTATTGTAGGTACTTATGAGCTCTACTTCGGGAAAAAGTTTCATTGAAATATATTCACTATTGCAAGAGTTATGGCTGTTTGAATATTGGTCCCATTTTTATGGGGTTTTCGTCATTTTGCGTGGTCAAGGATCAACTTTTCGAATATTTTTGCGACTTTTAAATATTCTTCGCCAAAATACGCGTTGTTTACCGTTTGAAACATTAAAATCCTCCAATTCGTTCAGAAGTTATGACGTTTCAAAGATTTCCATGAAAATTCGCGAGACCATCTCAGGCTTCAGATTATATTTTTGGTAACGAATTTTTTTCTCGAAAGTTTGTAGGATTTCGGGGGTATGTCTATCCACCAAAAATGATTGTAATTGACTCCTGCAAGCGACAATAATTTTTTCAGAATGATTTGAAGTTTTTTAATATCGTCGAAAAATTTGGGCACCTACCCCTATCGATTTTCCTAGTTTTTGATTTTTATTAATTTTGTTCGACGCCCTATAGAAAAATTGTCTAATACTTTATTGTAGGTACTTATGAGCTCTACTTCGGGAAAAAGTTTCATTGAAATATATTCACTATTGCAAGAGTTATGGCTGTTTGAAAATTGGTCCCATTTTTATGGGGTTTTCGTCATTTTGCGTGGTCAAGGATCAACTTTTCGAATATTTTTGCGACTTCTAAATATTCTTCGCCAAAATACGCGTTGTTTACCGTTTGAAACATTAAAATCCTCCAATTCGTTCAGAAGTTATGACGTTTCAAAGATTTCCATGAAAATTCGAGAGACCATTTCAGGCTTCAGATTATATTTTTGGTAACGAATTTTTTTCTCGAAAGTTTGTAGGATTTCGGGGGTATGTCTATCCACCAAAAATGATTGTAATTGACTCCTGCAAGCGACAATAATTTTTTCAGAATGATTTGAAGTTTTTTAATATCGTTGAAAAATTTGGGCACCTACCCCTATCGATTTTCCTAGTTTTCGATTTTTATTAATTTTGTTCAACGCCCTATAGAAAAATTGTCTAATACTTTATTGTAGGTACTTATGAGCTCTACTTCGGGAAAAAGTTTCATTGAAATATATTCACTATTGCAAGAGTTATGGCTGTTTGAAAATTGGTCCCATTTTTATGGGGTTTTCGTCATTTTGCGTGGTCATGGATCAACTTTTCGAATATTTTTGCGATTTCTAAATATTCTTCGCCAAAATACGCGTTTTTTACCGTTTGAAACATTAAAATCCTCCAATTCGTTCAGAAGTTATGACGTTTCAAAGATTTCCATGAAAATTCGCGAGAAAAATTTTTGTCGAAAAATTTCATATCGTCTTGAATTTTTTTCTAGAAAATGCGTAGGATTTTGGAGGTATGCCTATTCACCAAAAATGATTATAATTGACCCCCCTAACCGACAATAATTTTTCCAGAACGATTTGACATTTTTTTTTTCGCCGAAAAATTTCAGCACCTGTCGATTTTTCTTGAACATGAGTTTTTCATTTTTTATAAATTTGTTTGACGTCCTATAGAAAAGTTGTCAAATACTTTTTTGTAGGTGCCCATGAGCTCTACTTCAGAAAAAAGTTTCATTGAAATATGTTCACTATTGTAGAAGTTATGGCTGTTTGAAAATTGAGCCATTTTTACGGGGGTTTTCTCACTTTACGGGGTTAAGGAACAACTTTTCCAATATTTTTTGGATTTCTACCTATTCTCCATTAAAATACGCGTCGTTTGCCTTTTTAAACATTAAAATCCATCAATTCATTCGGAAGTTATGACATTTTAAAGATTTTTTTTTCCCCCGAAAAATTTCAGCACCTTCTCGAATTTTTTTCTAGAAAATGCGTAGGATTTTGGGGTTATATATATTGACCAAAAGTGATTGTAATTGACCCCCCTAAACGAAAATAATTTTTTTAGAATGATTTGAAATTTTTTAATTTCGTGGAAAAATTTCACATTTTCTCGAATTTTTTTCTCGAAAATGCGTAGGATTTTGGGGGTATGTGTATTCACCAAAAATGATTGTAATTGACCCCTACAACCGACAATAATTTTTCCAGAACGATTTGAAATTTTTTAATTTTGTCGAAAAGTTTTACATATTCCCGAATTTTTTTCTTAAAAGTGGGTAGGATTTCGAGGGTATGTCTAATGACCAAAAATAATTGCAATTGACCCCCGCAACCGAAAATAATTTTTCCGGAACGATTTGAAATTTTTTAATTTTATCGGAAAAATTTGACCACCTACTCGAATTTTTTTCTCAAAAGTGTGTCTATTCGCCAAAAAATGATTTGTAATTGTCCGCCGCAAAATCTCGATCAAGAAATTGATATTCTTGATTTTCGTCTTATTTTGAAATTTTTCTCAGTGTTGACCGAACACCCTGTATGTCGTGACGATGTGTGAAAGGATGGGGAAAAACGAAGGATAAATGCATATTATGTTCTATTTTCCACGGGGTATAATCACACGATATTAACCTCGATTATATTTTAAATTGAAGAATATAATATTTTATTTCCCCAAGAAGCAGTTAAAATATCGTTAATTACACATTTGGATTAAAGAGAAGACAATAACAAAGTTACATAATTCTGAGAATGACTTCGATTTCAAGGTCACCATAGTGGTACAGTGATCTTTCACGTAAAACAGTTTTCTTGGTAAGTATAATTAGCATCGATAAATCTGACACGAAATTAACATTAATAATTATATTCAACGTTTATTATATGGTCCTGGGCGAATAAAACAAACATTAAAGTATTTTACACAATAACGTGTAAGTTATGATCCAGCGAGTAGTCCGTAATTGTTAAAATATGTTTCTATAATTCTTGGATATCTGTTTTAACGTTTGGTTGGTAAAAGTTACTTTCGTTTATGTGTGGTTGGCTGCATTGCTTTATGCGCCCCCTTTTGTTCTTTTTGGGTACGAATACTGGGAGTGTGCTCACAAGGATGGAAACTTGTCTTCAAGTTTCTTTTTTTCTTTTCTCAATTGTTAACATATCTTCTTTCATGTCAAATTAATAAACAAATATTACACAAGTTAAGTTTATTTTCTTTAATTCGAACATGGTAGCAGAGCGTGGTTTGTGGTTGTAAAGGATTGAAAAGACACTAGCTGTTAGAAGAACGAAGTTGCATATAAAGAAATATGGCAGAAAGTAACAAAGAGGAATTTGCATTGCAAATATTCAATGACACGCAGTATAATAAATGGAAAAGAAAGTGAAGAGGAATGGAACGAGATTAAGAATAAGAAAAATACTGGTCGCTCTAAAAGAGAAACTCTGAGACTGCAGAGATTTGATGATCATATCGCTTATATAAACTACAATAATGCAAAAGTACCGGAAGGTTACGAAGAAGCAGTAAACTGTTCTGAATCTGGCAAGTGGTTGAACGCAATGGATAAAGAGATTGAAAGTCTTGAAGAGAATCAAACATGGTCGCTGGTAAATAAACCTGTCAATAAAGAAATCGCGGAAGTTAAATGGATCTATCGTATGAAGTCTGACGGTAACTACAAAGCTCGCATAGTAGCCGAGGGATTTCGACAAGCTTATAAAGAAGAAAATGAAGAGATCTACTTGCTGGTGGCGAGAATAACCACCTTAAAAATACTTTTATCCGTCGGATGTACTAAAAGTTGTGACATTGAACGAATGGATGCCCGAACGGCCTTTTTAAATGGTAATATTAAATCGGAGGTACATATTTATCCTCCGGATGGCTGTAAAATCAAACCAAATAAGTACGTCAGGTACGTCTAGTAAGAAAATCACTGTATGGACTCGGAGAGAGTCCACGTGATTGGTACGAGTGCTTCCACAATTTTATGTATTAATTTTAAAAGATCGAACAGTGGAGCGTAGCACTGTCAAACAACGGAACATTTAGTAAAAATTCAAAGCATACAGAAGTCAGCTACCATTTTGTCTATGATTATCAAAAGGGACCGATCAATGTACCAACGATCAAATTGCTGATATTTTGACGAAATCGTTAGGAAAAACAAAATTAAAAATCTTTGGAGAATTATTGGGCCTACTTTAAGTCACACAAATACAAAATTAAGGGAGCATTTTAAAATATGGTTCTGTAATCCTTGGATATCTGTTTTGACGTTTGGTTGGTAAACTTTGTTTTCGTGTGGTTGGCTGCATTGCTTCATGCGCCCCTTTCATGTTTTTTGTATTTACAAGGATGAAAACATGCGCGTCCAATTATCGCAGTCTTTTAAGTTTTTTTCTTTCTCAATTGTTATTTTCTTTCATGTAAAATTAATAAACAAATATTAAGTTTATTTTCTTTAATTCGAAAAGTAATAAAACAAAATGATTTCCAACATTTTCGAACTGGTTTTTAAAGTCACTAGCAACCCTTCTTATTGTCGAGCATTACTTCGAAAATAGAATTCCAATTACTCTCGATATCAACAAGCTTTGTATTTGTTTTTCTTAAAACGTATCGCGTTTGTTCCATCGAGAAACATTCGCGCGACACTTTGTATCAAAGAGGCAAACAAAGGAACAATTTATTTATTTTCAAAGTTACGCAACACGTTGGAAAAATTAACGATGCATATTGGCGCGCAAAGTAATGATAACCTCACTTTTGCTATCGTAAACACGATCCATGCATTATCGATCGAAACGCGTGAATTACGAATAGAAACATAAAACTGGCTCGATTAAAACGAAACTTGCGTGTTCGATTCGTGGCAAAGAAAGGTGGTCGAGGTGGGGGGGGCGTTTACGATTATCGAATGCGCGCAAAAATCTCTTGGCCAAAAAAGAGAAGAGTGTGAAAGATGCATGACGTACCATAATCGGGAGAATGGCGTTGATTTTCTTCACGTGGTTTTCGTTCTTGTCGAATATATTAATCGAGATACCGGATTGCTTGCCGCAGAGACGGCACACGCGACTCGATTCGAGGGTCTCCATAACGGTACAGGGAGAATTAATTTGTTCGGAGGACCCACGTGCGAGGCTTACAATGTCCCTCTCACTTCGTCTCGAACGTATGCCCTCGCGTTACCCTAGCACGCGCTCCGCGGGAAAATTCTGAAAAAGCTCCGCAGCGCGAACTATCCTCTGCGCCGCCGGTCAACCCGCCGTATATAATTCTGCGTCACGTTCTCACCGTGTTGGCCGGGGTACGCGTAAACACGGGCATTCGTGCAAGCGCGTGTTGCTGAACGTCGACGCGAACGTGATACCTCGGCCGGTACGTATCGTACTCCTACCGGCGGGCAAAATATTCACCCGATTACCACTGCGCTCTACGTATCTTTGATGTGGTCCGCTTAACGCGCTCTCGTTCGCTAAGGAGAAGAAGATCGATTTCGGTCGGCCCTACCACTGCGGTTACAAAAGTCGTACGAACTTGGTGCTCGCCTTTTTGGTCGACGAATCGTACATTAGCGACATCTGTCGGCGTTACCGCGATACGTTATGTTCCGTGACTCGATGATTAAGTAGCAGTGATCTCGCCGTTGTTACATTATTTTTCACGCATGCGCAGTCTGTCACGGCGAAAGCGACAACCAGCGCCGTGGATACTCGTCGTCATGGAAACCAACTTTACTGGGCCCCCCGTAATCGTGACAATCGATGAAATAAAATACGAACTGAAATGTTCCAAGAGCAATTTGAAAATGCTAAAATATATGTTTTACGTAGATATTCACATTTTTGCAAGATAATTTTTAAATTATATATTGAGATTTTTTTTAATAAAAAAACTATCAAATATATAACGTTAAACTTTGAGAAAGTTAATTACCTATATTTTCTTTATGTCAGATAGTGTGCGAATTTGTACTCTAATTTTCAGAATAACTTTCTATGTTTTCAGACATTGTTATTATTACTAGAAAAATACAAAAGTAATGTAATAAATTTCTCTTCTGTTTGTATTTTACACCAAAAAATCGCATTAAGCATTGTCTGTAAAATTTTTAACACTTGTACATACTTACATTTTAAACTAATATAGTATGTATATTTTAATTTTCTTATTACTTTACAGGTTTGATCTCCATCGAGATATAAAAGAACCTAAAATACAAATAATATAATAATTATTACAAACATTGATATATCTTATTATTTGTAATAATATTATAATATGTCACCGAACACCGTGTGTATACCTCATCTCGTACTCTTTATCAATATTTCGGAAATTTTGATGTCAATTTCAGAAACAGTAAATCAGGGGGGCATATGTTTACCTTTAGTCGCGTCATCAGAATACTGTACTGATACCGTTTCTAAGGCGCATGCGCAAAGAAATCTAAAGCGAGACGATCTCGAGAATTTCGACTTAACCTCACAGTTAGTGACAGTTATCCGTTTCAAAATAACAATATTGAAGAATCAAAGCTCTAGTTTTGCAATGGAAAATGAAGGCACAACTTCGACCGAAAAGTCGTTTACGGACAAGCAGGCGGAGAGAATGAAACGTTTGCGAGATCTTCACGCGAAAAGAGTAAGTATAAAAGTGTAGAATACGTTGGTGGAACGCGTACTCCTAAATTAAATATGTTATTAAAGTACTTTTCGCGAATAAAAGTTTATTACTAATCAATTTTATTTTTTTGACATCTTGCTCATTAAATTTATGGTTATATTCAGGGTAACATTTTGTTACAACTCTTCCACCGACCTTGTTATTAAATCTATTTTGGATGTACTTACCTCTACCGTTTATTCACAAACATTAGTTATACGTCATTCGATTCGTCTAATTCAATACATTATTGATATGCATTTCATTATCTGCGGAAATTCGTTATTTTTTTATAAACTTGTCGTAAAGTTACAATAAAAAAGTAAGGTTAAGTATATTTTGACAAGTCCACAGGTGGAAACAAGTGACTATCGTTGCTATGTTCGTGTTACAAATATAAATGATTGATCTAATTTGATAATGCTACATTGCCGAACGGGAATTTGTAGAATGCGTATGCATAAAAATCATTTTGTTACGGATAGACTTTGCACGAGTCGGTCAGGTAGACAGTATGTGCCGCAACAATTCCCACCCCATATAATCCAGACCAACTCAGACAGTACTTGTAGGTAGACAGTGTATGCAGCAAGAGCAAAAAATGTTACACCCCCCCAAACAGTGTTTACGGGTAGAGAATATAATAAATTACTATTGTATGCAGTGCGTTGGATTAACTTATTTTTAATTATTAAATTTCATTATCATCTACGTCTGGTATATTTTGCTATTCTATAGAATCAAATGAAATTTCTGCAATTTCTTTTAATAGCTGGTTAAATAAATCATCCTTTCCTTGCTTGGAAAATTTGTAAAATACGTAGTGGCTTAAATACCCAATGAAATTATCTTTATTGCTAAAAATAGAAAATTTGATGGTATTGTATGTTACAGAAAATATTAAAAAACGTGCAAAATTACAAATACTAACCGACAATATTCAGGCAAAAAGTGTTTACTATGCCTCCACGTAGTTTCTATCGTATTTGTACGAGCGCCTGTTTCTGGGTCTTTGAAATGTAAGCTGTGATTTACGGTAAGATGTTTGTACCCATCTTTCTCTAAGATGTTATAGGCTTTCCAACAATCTGAAATAATTGTTGTGCCAGGCAACACCCGTTGTTTAATTATTGAAAGCAGGGACTCTGTGTCCCTACTTTCAACAGGCACCAGGAATATTTTTCCACTTCCTCTTTCTATTCCTCCAAAAACCCATTGCCCCTCTACACGATGACCTCTGTGATATTTTCTTCGTCCGAACTTAGATTCGTCCATTTCTACTATTTTGCCTGGTCCGCCAAGTACTTCGCATGAATGTTGTAGCCAATCAGTCATAACTTGTTTTACAAAATAATTCCATCGAGAAACAGTATTTTTATTCAATTGTAATTCTCGTACAATCTGATATCGATCAAAATTATGGACTAACATGTAAGTTAATTTTAATACCATTTCATAAGAAAGCTTTGTTTTTGAAAACCACGTTCCACGTTTTACACATATTTTTGCATCACAAGTTCGCTTTCGTTTGCAAGCACTAAGAGATGCTGCAATTGTTTTTCTTCAACGCCAATTTTCATTGTCTAATTTCATTACGTTTCCACACTGTGGACAATTAACGCTAGAAAGACTGAAACTTAGTATATACCTATATTGCCCAAAAGCAGTCGAAATGACTGCATTGTGAAAGACTAACTAATGTGTAAAGAAATTTGTTTAAAATTAATTTTTAATATTATGTTATAATATTATGAATTTAGGGCGCAGAAATAAAATAAACAACTTGTTAGAACAAGTATCACTGCATAAAGATTCGAATAACAAGTACTACTTTAGCTTATTGAGAAACTGCAATTTATCAATAGGTCTGGGTTAGGTCTGGGTTAGGTCTGGGTTATGTCTGGATTAGATCTGGGTTAGGTCTGGATTAGATCTGGGTTAGGTCTGGGTTAGGTCTCCTTTACACTGTCGTTGTATTTTGTAATTTCCAAGTGTATGATTTGGTTTGGACTCGAAAAAATGTCGAATGGGACTTGACGAACAATGCTTTTAAGTGTTTTATTTGAAATTTACCTGTTAAAATAAGTGTTTTATTTACACTGTTGTTGTATTTTGTAATTTCCAAGTGTATGATATCTGTTTGGTTTGGACTTGAAAGAATGTCGAGTGAGACTTGACGAAGGTGCTCCTGAGATCAAAATTGATGTCGAATCACACTCGACATAGGAGTGCAAAGGGTTAAGATAATTTGGATTATTAACTAATCCAGACCTAACCCAGACCTAATCCAGACCTAAACCAGACCTAACCCAGATCTAATTCAGATCTAATCCAGACCTAACCCAGAGCTAACTCAGATCTAATCCAGACCTAACCCAGACCTAACTCAGATCTAATTCAGATCTAATCCAGACCTAACCCAGAGCTAACTCAGATCTAATCCAGACCTAACCCAGACCTAACCCAGAGCTAACTCAGATCTAATCCAGACCTAACCCAGACCTAACCCAGACCTAACTCAGATCTAACTCAGATCTAATCCAGACCTAACCCAGACCTAACTCAGATCTAATTCAGATCTAATCCAGACCTAACCCAGAGCTAACTCAGATCTAATCCAGACCTAACCCAGACCTAACCCAGATCTAATCCAGACCTAACCCAGACCTAACCCAGACCTAACTCAGATCTAACTCAGATCTAATCCAGACCTAACCCAGATCTAGAGTCTGGGTTAGGTCTGAGTTAGGTCTGGGTTATGTCTGGATTAGATCTGGCTTAGGTCTGGATTAGATCTGGGTTAGGTCTGGGTTAGGTCTGGGTTAGGTACGCCCAAATCGACAATTTATCATGTACTTGTATGTTATCATGTGTTGGTAATCGAAAAAAAATGAAAACTGTTATTTCAAAACAGAGTCGAACTGGTCATATAAGAAATTTACTCAATTCAATAATAAGAGTCATTTGATTATTTAAAATTTCCCAAGCAGTCAAAATGACTGCCTTTGGGCGATATAGGTATAACACGGAAATGAAGGAGGGGGAGGTAACTACAATTATTAATAAACGCATTTATATGTTGTGCAAAAAGTCACAAAATTCTAAGAAATTGTGTCATTATATACATAATTGTTTTTCTAATTGAAATTAAAAAACAGTCAAAATTACTTCCTTGGGCAATCTAGTGTTAAATAAGGTCCACACTTCTGAAACTACTAATTCGGTCATTTTTATAGCACGGTTGAACAAAATTCACAAAGTACAAGAAACAGAAGAAAATCAGAAATGACAGTCGAAACAAATGATTACTGAAACAATCTCTGCTTTTCTTCTGTTTCTTGTACTATCTGCAATGTGGAAATGTTATGAAAATTGGCGATGCAGGATAACTATTCCAGGATCTGTCGATCAAACTAAACGTAAAAGACATTGTAATATAAAGATATTTGCAAAGCAAAGAACGTGGTTTTCTAAAAACAAACTCAGCTATAGATGTTTTAAAATTAGCATATATACTAACATATAATTAGGAGCAATGTCATATTATTATATAACTAAAATTAAATAAAAATACTGCTCAGCAATTGGAAGAGTAGAGTAGATTGTCGTGATCGATGAATCAACATTTTGTCATAGAAAATATCACAGAGGTCGCTTGAAAATTAATCACAGCGTCAGTTTCGAAGATCCCATTACCGATGCTTACACGAATTAAATTGAAACCACTCGGATGCATGCTACACATTTTTTAATCTTTTTTATAACATATAATACTATCGATATTTTATATTTTTAAGAAGAGTAACTTCATCGAATGCCTGAGCCATTATGTATTTAGTAAATGTACCCAATAGAAAAATGGTGATTTATTCAATGAAATATTAGCCAAAATAGTAGAAATTTCATTCGATAAATGTTTAACAAATTAGCATTTGACTACCTAGCATTTTGAACAGAGTAACGACAGTCGCTTGTTTCCACCTGTGGACTTGTCAAAATATACTTAACCTTACTTTTTTACCGTAACTTTACGACAAGTTTATAAAAAAATAACGAATTTCCGCAGATAATGAAACGCGTATCAATAATGTATTGAATTAGACGAATCGAATGACGTATAAATCACCCCGATCGGTGAACGGGCCGTTTGCTAGGAATATACCGATTGTTTGTTTTATAGAACGAAGCTAGACAACAAAATCATAAGGAGGTTGTTGAAGAGGACAAAAGGAACAAACTCCCTTCGAATTGGGAGTCACGTAAACGACAAGCGGAATGGATCGTGCAAGATGAAGCGTCAAGAAAAGAGGCTCAAGACAAAGTAAACAGTATAGTTCACAAATGTTGCAACGAACAACATTTTTTATGTATTTGTTATGTATTTTATAGGGGGAAGATTACGAAAGGACAAAATTGCTTCATATAGATGCAGCGGAAGCGGAGCGCATAGCAAGGAAAAAGAAGAATAGAAAGAATCCAGACCCAGGGTTCTCCGATTACGAACAAGCAGCTATACGACAATACAACAGGCTAGTAAAAAATATCAAGCCAAATATGGATTCGTACGACGAAGCCAGAAGCAAATTGGGCCCAGCTTTTTACGGGGACAAAAATACCATACTGCATGGTCTGCACGAAGACAAAAAGGAGGCCGTAGATAAAATGGTTGAAGATTTGGAGAAGCAGTTAGTATTTTATGGCAAAGAATTTGAATTTATTCTAGTACGCATATGCTACTAATTTTCTACCAATTTTTTCAGAATTGCAAAGAGAGATAAGTACAGCAGGAGAAGGATGCACAACGACGATGCAGATATCGATTATATCAATGAACGTAACGCCAAGTTTAACCAGAAATTGGAGAGATTCTATGGTGAATACACACGCGAAACGAAATTAAACTTGGAAAGGGGCACAGCTATATAATGGGAGAACGTTATTACTAATGGATTTACTACAAATAACTTGTATTTTAAATAGGTATTTAAAAACTCTTACAAATAGGAGTCAGACTACCGTTTAGTCGTTGACCGTTTAGTAATCGGAAGTGCAGGTGGTATTTTTTTGCGGTTTACCGATTCATCCCGTGTATTCGTGTATCGAAAAAAATCAGATTATATATCAAATTATATATTATATTCAAATGTCATACGTTATCGTAAATAAAAAAACAAATTCAACTGAATTAACTTGATAAAATTTTTGTGCTCCCCTCTGGGCGGTCTGTTGATTTCGTACAACAATTTTTTTTTTTTTTATTTAATTTAAATAATAATTTTATATACAGTTTCTCATGTTTCTAATGCAGCTCACGTCATACCACCCAACTATGTACTGTTCCTGGAAAAAAAAAAGAAATATAAAACTCCCTTTTTTTTATATCATATTCAATTTCATTATGTATTTTAATGTATACTCACGACTTGGCGAAAAGTTGTGATGATGTGTAACTCGTATATGAATATCTTGTGTCTCGCCTGTAAATTAAACATACAAACTTGCTACACTGCTTTTATAATTGACAGCACGGTTTACGTATTTATCAGTGTCCAAGCCAGCGATTTTCAACCGTTCTTATTTTTCAGTACACCAAGAAATATACTAAATTTCGTTATCAACCACTGACAAAAAAAGCGTACATTTTTGGTCGATTACAAAAGATTAATAATTTTGTATCGCTTTTGTTCAAAATTGACAAAGTAATCGCTATGTATTTTCAATGATACGTATGTGAAAAGAATTTTGTTCATCTCGTTCTCTGAAAGTTTGTTTTTATTTATGGTGCGTTGATAGCAAGAAATGTTGAGTTATTTTGTGGATTTCGCTTTCTAAAGAACAAACTAATGTTATCAGGATCGCAGGAATTTGGTAAATGATAAAAATAGGTTTCGACTACTTCTTAAACTCTCTAAACGCTATTCAATCTAATTGTATAAGACTAGCCGTAGGTGCTTTTCGAACAAGTCCTATTCTGAGTCTCCTAGCTGAAGGCGAAGAAGAACCTTTGGAATTTAGAAGAAGGGAACTTAGCTTGACGTACGCTACGAAGCTTTCAACTACAAATCCTACTTATAAGAATGTTTTCTAGCATCGATGAAACAGAAATTATGATGCTAAACGCTTCCATTCCAAACCCTTTTCCCAAAAACTTGAAATAAATGATATAATTGAAGAAGTTCCACCAACAATACCTATTTCTATGTTGTGCGTTCCTTCCTGGCTAACACCCTAACCTATAGTTGATTTATCGTTATCTGACTTTTGTAAAGAACAAACCAACGATGCTACTTATAAAAATCTCTGTTATGAAATTATCCAGAAATATCCAGATCGCATTCAAGTCTATACTGATGGTTCTAAGTCCAACGATGGGACAGGATGCGCTATCATATCATCGAATGATTATAAATTACATGGACTCCATGATTTCTGCTCTATTTTTTATGCCGAAGCCTTTGCTGTTCTAATTGCTTTAAAATTAATTATCAACTCCAACGACTACAAATGTATGCCTTTTTCAGATTCTAAGTGTCATAGACTGTTTAAAAAATTTTGAAAATAGAGAACCGATAATCCAGCATATATTTCAGCGAACTTCAGCTATTCAAAATGGCAATAAAGAAATTGTATTTACATGGATTTCTCCACGCTCAAAATTACTAAGAATTCACCAACGATCTGTAACTCCTGTAACGTTAGACTATCTGTTGAACATGTTTTGTTTAACTGCCTCGGCAGTCTGGAAGACATTACTATAACTCTTTCATTTCTGAAAAGAGTGAGTTTATATAATAAGATTTAGCTATTATACATCTGCGATTAATTTGTAACTACATATCTCATATATCGTGGTAATGACCTTGCTGTTCATGCGACCTTTATAAATAAATAATTTTGGGAAAGAGTATTATTCACTGACGAAAGTAAGTATAATATTTTTTTCAGAAGAGGCAAAATATGGAGGAAAAGCGGCACAGCATTTATAATCAAAAGATCATTTTAGGTTAGGTTAAACTCGCGAAACACCGGTTGAAAATCGTTGATCTAACAAGGAACCATCGCGAACGGTCCGGCTTCGATTTTGATGAAACTTTGTACACTTATAAAGCAGCCAAAAATAATCGACACGTATATTTTTTTAGCTGCGGTAACTCGAGTTTAAGGGGTGAAACCACCCCTTGAAGTTTTGGCTCGAAACGGCTATCTCGAAAACGGAAAGACATAGAAAAAAATTGTTAATGGGCGAGGTTGATGGTTTCTTATGTACAATAACATGGTGTTAAAAAATTTTAAAAAATACAATTTGTTTATAACAAAAAAAAATTTATTAACTTAATTTTTCGTTTTATTGAAATTTTCATAATGACAAAAAATGACGAGCATTTTATTCCAAATCCACTGGTATGCGATTTTTTAAAATTGCCTCCTACAGTTTTGCAGATTTTGATGATTTACATCTTGCGCGCACATCCATTATGGTAGTAGCCGTTCTAACTTTGATTTTAATGAAGCACTGTAGGCTTGCACTACTTCTAGAGGAGAAAATCGGGGAAAATACAAGAATAACAATTTGTTGATGGAGGCTTCGTTAAATAGTTATTAAAAAATTAAATTAAAAAATTTCAAATCCTCCAGGAAAAAATTATTTTCGGTTGCGGGGGCCAATTAAATCATTTTTGGTCAATACATATACCCACGAAATCCTCCGCACTTTCGAGAAAAAAATTCCTAATCGAAAATGTAATTTATGGCCAGAAATGTTGTCCGAAAATTTCATGCGGATCATTAAAATGTCATAACTTCTGAACGGATTGAAGGATTTTAATTTTCAAAAATGCAAACGACGCGTATTTTAATCAAGAATACGTAGATATCGCAAAAATATGCAAAAAGTTGATCCTTGACCCCGCAAAATGAGAAAAACCCCATAAAAATGGTCCAATCTTCAAACAGCCATAATTCCTACAATAGTGAATATATTTCAATGAAACTTTTTTCTGAAGTAGAGCTCATAGGTACCTACAAAAAAAGTACTAAACAAAATTTCCGTAGGACGTCGAACAAATTTGTTAAAAATGAAAAACGAATTTTTCAGAAAAATTGACAAGTGCCTAAATTTTTCGGCGAAAAAAAATTTCAAATCGTTTTAAAAAAATTATTTTTAACTAGGGAGATTAATTACAATCATTTTTGGTGAATAGACATACCCTCGAAATCCTAACCATTTTCGAGAAAAAAATTCCTCATCGAAAATATAATTTCAGGCTAGAAAAGTCACTCTTTGGAACGTCATAACTTTTGAATGGATTGAAGGATTTTAATGTATCACGCGGCAAACAACGTGTATTTAGATGAAGAATATGTAAAAATTGCAAAAATATGCAAAAAGTTGTTCCTTGACCCCGCAAAATGAGAAAAACCCCATAAAAATGGTCCAATCTTCAAACAGCCATAATTCCTACAATAGTGAATATATTTCAATGAAACTTTTTTCTGAAGTAGAGCTCATAGGTACCTACAAAAAAAGTACTAAACAAAATTTCCGTAGGACGTCGAACAAATTTGTTAAAAATGAAAAACGAATTTTTCAGAAAAATTGACAAGTGCCTAAATTTTTCGGCGAAAAAAAATTTCAAATCGTTTTAAAAAAATTATTTTTAACTAGGGAGATTAATTACAATCATTTTTGGTGAATAGACATACCCTCGAAATCCTAACCATTTTCGAGAAAAAAATTCCTCATCGAAAATATAATTTCAGGCTAGAACAGTCACTCTTTGGAACGTCATAACTTTTGAATGGATTGAAGTATTTTAATGTTTCACGCGGCAAACAACGTGTATTTAGATGAAGAATATGTAAAAATTGCAAAAATATGCAAAAAGTTGTTCCTTGACCCCGCAAAATGAGAAAAACCCCATAAAAATGGTCCAATCTTCAAACAGCCATAATTCCTACAATAGTGAATATATTTCAATGAAACTTTTTTCTGAAGTAGAGCTCATAGGTACCTACAAAAAAGTACTAAACAAAATTTCCGTAGGACGTCGAACAAATTTGTTAAAAATGAAAAACGAATTTTTCAGAAAAATTGACAAGTGCCTAAATTTTTCGGCGAAAAAAAATTTCAAATCGTTTTAAAAAAATTATTTTTAACTAGGGAGAACAATTACAATCATTTTTGGTGAATAGACATACCCTCGAAATCCTAACCATTTTCGAGAAAAAAATTCCTCATCGAAAATATAATTTCAGGCTAGAAAAGTCACTCTTTGGAACGTCATAACTTTTGAATGGATTGAAGTATTTTAATGTTTCACGCGGCAAACAACGTGTATTTAGATGAAGAATATGTAAAAATTGCAAAAATATGCAAAAAGTTGTTCCTTGACCCCGCAAAATGAGAAAAACCCCATAAAAATGGTCCAATCTTCAAACAGCCATAATTCCTACAATAGTGAATATATTTCAATGAAACTTTTTTCTGAAGTAGAGCTCATAGGTACCTACAAAAAAAGTACTAAACAAAATTTCCGTAGGACGTCGAACAAATTTGTTAAAAATGAAAAACGAATTTTTCAGAAAAATTGACAAGTGCCTAAATTTTTCGGCGAAAAAAAATTTCAAATCGTTTTAAAAAAATTATTTTTAACTAGGGAGATTAATTACAATCATTTTTGGTGAATAGACATACCCTCGAAATCCTAACCATTTTCGAGAAAAAAATTCCTCATCGAAAATATAATTTCAGGCTAGAAAAGTCACTCTTTGGAACGTCATAACTTTTGAATGGATTGAAGGATTTTAATGTATCACGCGGCAAACAACGTGTATTTAGATGAAGAATATGTAAAAATTGCAAAAATATGCAAAAAGTTGTTCCTTGACCCCGCAAAATGAGAAAAACCCCATAAAAATGGTCCAATCTTCAAACGACCATAACTCCTACAATAGTGAATATATTTCAATGAAACTTTTTTCTGAAGTAGAGCTCATAGGTACCTACAAAAAAGTATTACATAACTTTTCTATAGAAAGTCAAACAAAATTACTAAAAATCAAAAACGAATTTTAAAGAAAAATCGACAAGGGATTTGTGCACAAATTGTTGGACAAAATTAAAAAATTTCATATCGTTCTGGAAAAAATATTTTCGGTTACGGGCGGCAATTACAATCATTTTTTATCAATACACATACCTTCGAATTCCTACGCATTTTTCAGAAAAAAAATTCACTAACGAAAATCTAATCTAATGCTTCCCTGAAATTTCATGTGAATTTTTAAAATATCATAACTTTGGAACGGATTAGAGGATTTTAATGTTTCAAAAGGCAAACAACGTGTATTTTAGTGAAGAATATGTAGAAATTCTAAGAATATTGAAAAAGTTGTTCCTTGACACCGTAAAGTGAGAAAAACCCCATAGAAATGGTCCAATTTTCAAACGTCCATAACTTCTACAGTAGCGAACCTATCTCAATGAAATTTAGTATGGGAGTAGAGCTAATGGATATCAACAAAAAAGTACTAAACAAAATTTCCGTAGGACGTCGAACAAATTTATTAAAAATAAAAAACAAATTTCTAAGAAAAATCGACCTGCTGAAATTTCGACAAAATTAAAAAATTTCAAATCGTTCCGGAAAAATTATTTTTAGTTGCGAGGGTCAATTACAATAATTTTTGGTCAATAGACATACCCACGAAATCCTACTCACTTTCGAGAAAAAAATTCGAGTAGATGGACAAATTTTTCGGTGAAACTAAAATTTTCCAAATCGTTCTAAAAAAATTATTTTCAGTTGCGGGGGTCAATTTCAATCATTTTTGGTCAATATATATACCCCCGAAATCCTACGCACTTTTGAGAAAAAAATTCGAGAATGTGTGAAATTTTTCAACAAAATTAAAAAATTCCAAACCATTCTGAAAAAATTATTTTCGGTTGCAGGGATCGATTACAATCATTTTTGGTCATTACACATTCACCCGAAATCTTGGGCATTTCGGAGAAAAAAATTCAGTACGGGCGGAACTTTAAACGTTAATAATTTCTTAACGAAGCCTCCATCAACAAATTGGTATTCTTGTATTTTTCCCGATTTTCTCCTCTAGAAGTAGTGCAAGCCTACAGTGGTTCATTAAAATCAAAGTTAGAACGGCTACTACCATAATGGATGTGCGCGCAAGATGTAAATCATCAAAATCTGCAAAACTGTAGGAGGCAATTTTAAAAAATCGCGTACCAATGGATTTGGAATAAAATGCTCGTCATTTTTTGTCATTATGAAAATTTCAATAAAATGAAAAATTAAGTTAATCAATTTTTTTTTGTTATAAACAAATTGTATTTTTTTAAATTTTTTAACACCATGTTATTGTACATAAGAAACCATCAACCTCGCCCATTAACAATTTTTTTCTATGTCTTTCCGTTTTCGAGATAGCCGTTTCGAGCCAAAACTTCAAGGGGTGGTTTCACCCCTTAAACTCGAGTTACCGCAGCTAAAAAAAAATACGTGTCGATTATTTTTGGCTGCTTTATAAGTGTACAAAGTTTCATCAAAATCGAAGCCGGACCGTTCGCGATGGTTCCTTGTAAGCGGGTAACATTATAGATTGAAAAAATTTCATTACTCACCAGTTTGCATAAAAAACACGGTTTTCGGTTATCATCTTGTTTCACCGTTGAAAACAACAACACAGCACGGCGATATTAATGATATTTAAGTAACGTATGATACATCAACAGATTAGACATGCGTTACAATCAAGTACGCTGTGGGTCTGTTTTATTTATATTACGTCATTTGTCTTTGTGGTCGTTAATACATATTCTTAGGAGCAGGTATCCTGAAGTAATTATTATCACCTTTGATCGTGCACTTTGTCACAGTACTGATGCATAGAAGTCGATAAATTTGGTAAATGTATCATGGAAAAATCACATGCTGTTAAGGCACACACGTCGGTTTACTATTCCGTCGATGGCGGGGGCGGTGGGTCGACGGCAAAGCGTTTTAACAAAGTCGTAAGCTCCTTTATCGGTTTCTTCGCGGTCGTACCTGTGTTTCCATGATCCAACAGCCTCGGCATATCGCACTGTTCGCATTTGTTCATTAACGGATGATTGTCAAATGTACACATTCTACAGACCCAAGAGGGACCGTCCCGTTCGTCTCTGTCGATGTTATTTCCGGATATTTCTGGTTGCCACACTGGTGGCTGGCTCGGCAAAGGTGGTGGATTAAAACTACCAGACACCGGAGGTAAAGGCTGACCGGTGTAAATATCCTGATAAAACTCTTCGTTCGTCTCACCTAGAGGCACTGCGAAAGAAACAGAACAATACACACATTGCGTTGGAAATAATAAGGCAACCGTCACAGAAAAAATACTCAGTTTTTAAGCTTTACACTAATTTTTTGGCATTTACTCTGAATTTCAAGTGTTTACGCTAAGTGTTGAGTATCCACACTCAACTTTTGAAAGCTAAATCTAAAAATTGGGTGTTTACGCTAAATATTTCAAAGTTGACTCTCATGTTTAAGCGTGTACATTTAATATTTAAGGTTAAACGAGTAGAATTTTAGAATTTACTTTAAAAGTTGGACATTCATACTTGCTTTTCTAAAATACATATTTTACTTAAATACTTACCAAAAGTATCTTTATTTAGGTGTTATTTCTGATTCAGATTAACTCTCAATTAACACTTGCATTAAGAGTTTATTTTCAAGTCGAGAGTAAACCCTGAATTTCAAGTGTTTACGCTAAGTGTTGAGTATCCACACTCAACTTTTGAAAGCTAAATCTAAAAATTGGGTGATTACGCTAAATATTTCAAAGTTGACTCTCATGTTCAAGCGTGTACATTTAATATTTAAGGTTAAACGAGTAGAATTTTAGAATTTACTTTAAAAGTTGAACATTCACACTTGCTTTTCTAAAATACATATTTTACTTAAATACTTACCAAAAGTATCTTTATTTAGGCGTTATTTCTGATTCAGACTAACGCTCAATTAACACTTGCATTAAGAGTTTATTTTCAAGTCGAGAGTAAACCCTGAATTTCAAGTGTTTACGCTAAGTGTTGAGTATCCACACTCAACTTTTGAAAGCTAAATCTAAAAATTGGGTGTTTACGCTAAATATTTCAAAGTTAACTCTCATATTTAAGCGTGTACATTTAATATTTAAGGTTAAACGAGTAGAATTTTAGAATTTACTTTAAAAGTTGAACATTCACACTTGCTTTTCTAAAATACATATTTTACTTAAATACTTACCAAAAGTATCTTTATTTAGGCGTTATTTCTGATTCAGACTAACGCTCAATTAACACTTGCATTAAGAGTTTATTTTCAAGTCGAGAGTAAACCCTGAATTTCAAGTGTTTACGCTAAACGTTGAGTATCCACACTCAACTTTTGAAAGCTAAATCTAAAAATTGGGTGATTACGCTAAATATTTCAAAGTTGACTCTCATGTTCAAGCGTGTACATTTAATATTTAAGGTTAAACGAGTAGAATTTTAGAATTTACTTTAAAAGTTGAACATTCACACTTGCTTTTCTAAAATACATATTTTACTTAAATACTTACCAAAAGTATCTTTATTTAGGCGTTATTTCTGATTCAGACTAACGCTCAATTAACACTTGCATTAAGAGTTTATTTTCAAGTCGAGAGTAAACCCTGAATTTCAAGTGTTTACGCTAAACGTTGAGTATCCACACTCAACTTTTGAAAGCTAAATCTAAAAATTGGGTGATTACGCTAAATATTTCAAAGTTGACTCTCATGTTCAAGCGTGTACATTTAATATTTAAGGTTAAACGAGTAGAATTTTAGAATTTACTTTAAAAGTTGAACATTCACACTTGCTTTTCTAAAATACATATTTTACTTAAATACTTACCAAAAGTATCTTTATTTAGGCGTTATTTCTGATTCAGACTAACGCTCAATTAACACTTGCATTAAGAGTTTATTTTCAAGTCGAGAGTAAACCCTGAATTTCGAAATTATGTGAGAGTAACGCTCGAGTTGAAAGTAAACTGAGAACTTAAGCGTTATTATTTTTAATTTTAAATAAAATTGTTACCCCTTGGGTCTGACCACTGATCCACTTCGTCCGCTAGTATGTCACATTCAACCTGCAGCTGATAGATTTCGCTTCTTAACTTTTTCTTCAATTCCTGCGAAACAAACATTGTTGTCTGAATTACGAATAAGGTCATTGCATGAGAAATTCGACACCTTCTGGATTAACAATTTTGCTGAAACTTGGATATAAACTGTTGGTCAAAATTATACTGTTAGTTTTTGGCTCGTTTATGTCATGATTAGAACCATTGTCGTTCGCTGCTACTTACAGTAAAGTCTGGAACCGTTCTCCAATTATTAAAAATGTTATCGAGAAATTAAATGGATAGTTTAAGAACAATTTATATTATAAATAGTTTTCAATAACTGGTGACCTGTTTATGTATTGTTACGTAATTCTGTAAATGGAAAAGCAATAATTCTAACAGACAGGCTACTATAACAACAATGATCAAACTGCGGCTTTTCTAAATCCTTACTGCGACTTGTGTGCACTTGTAACTATCGTTTATAATTAATGAACAAACACCTGAAGTAATACGGAGTATATTTACAAACATTTTCTTCTAAAACTTTGCGAACACAGGCTTCTATTTAAAAAGAAAACACAATGGTCATCGCTTAAAGGTATGTAATCTAATTTTGTACCTGCGGTGGCATTAAGGAATCATATGGCCTCGTGAGAGACTGCAGTTCCTTTTTCATTGCTTCGAGTCGTCCTTTCTCGGCCCTCAGTTCCTTGGCGAGTCTTTCTTTTCTGACTAACTGTTCAGCGACCAATTTCCTTTGGTGCTCCGCCACTGTAAGGACGGAGAAACAATTTACATTGTATTACGCAGAAATAAGGAACAGTAACGTACAATGAAACAAGGACACTTGAAATCTCGAAACTTTGAAACCCATTGAAACTTATAATTAGACTACGGATCTTTATGCAAATTCACATATTTATTAATAAAATTAATGAAACGGAAGCTACGCAGAGGGCTGTCTCAATCCCTAAATATAATAATTCGTATCTTACTTTAAGTATTTCTTATATTTTTGCATATTAAATGCATTCTGTAGTTTTTTGAGGATTAAAATTTCCCATAAATGCATAAACATACGCAGTCTACTTATAATGTTTTGTGTTTATAAATTACAAATACTCGTTACTCTAAATAAGTAACCACAGATGTACAGGAAACAAATAAATGGGGATCAAGTTTATTTGATTGATTAGCATGTAACAAAGTTGTGCTAATTTCATTATATTGTATTTCAGTTGCATCGTAATTCAATGACATTGTCATTGATTTATAATAATTCAATATATTATATATAAATTCAGTATATAATAATTCAATCTTTTTAGATAATTCAATTTCTCTATATAGTTCAAATTTCTGTCTAAAATCTATAAATTTATTTATTCCCTATAAACATATGCATTTGCACAAATATCCGCTGTCTACCTATGATTTTGTCAATTTTACGAATTTTGACTATCTATTTTTCAATACATAACCTCTATACCTAACATTATAAAAACGGGAAAAACAATACGATTTTTTAATATTCTAGATCAGATAATCCTTTTAACCCTAGAAAGATTACACTATAAGTCGTATCGTTAAAAATTGAGAGGGTGGGGGGGAGCTCTTGAAGCTCACCTAAGTTACCTAGAATTATTTTTGGAAAAAGAGCCATTAAAAATGCGTAGTACAATATAATATGAGCATTGGTACTTTCGTATCTTAACAGTTTACCGACCGGTAGCGGTTGATTAATCGGCTATCGGTCGGTAAGCGTTGGTCGGTAAAAAAGTTGATTAATACGCTATCGGTCGGTAAGTGTTGGCCGGTAAAAAAGTCGATTAATAGGCTATCGGTCGGTAATGTGTTAAGATGCAGTCGACAATTCCAAAAATTATTTTAATTAACATGTTGATTACGTTAACAAAGTGTTTCAATGTCCAAATCTAGAGGTTAAGTAGATGAAACAATAAGGTCTGCATGACGTATCAATTTGTCAACAAATTGGTCATTAGAGAATTATTCAGTTACATAACTAAACTGCGTCCTTCCGAAGGAAAGAAATTGTCAATTCTCGTGGAACACTACGAGGTAGCATTTCTACTTGTTAGCAAGATCATACATGAAATATTAAATGACGTTCCTAAACTTAATCATTAGAACATAAAATTGACTATAATTCAGGAACTAAGCAAAGTAAATCATACCTTTGTATGAACTTTTTTTTATTTTTCGGTGTTAAATTTATCCATAAAGCTTTACTTATTAAAATATTTGCAAGTTTGTACAAATTTGTGTATTTTATAAAGTGGTTCTCAATTTAAAAAGAAGATCTATTGGCAAATCGTGTCAAATAGTGTTACATAAAAGGTCAGGATCATGTTTCATCGGATGCTGCATATTAATGAAGTAGAAAGTACTCCGAGCCAATACTTAACACTTTACCGACCGGTAGCGGTTGATTAATCGGCTATCGGTCGGTAAGCGTTGGTCGGTAAAAAAGTTGATTAATACGCTATCGGTCGGTAAGCGTTGGTCGGTAAAAAAGTCGATTAATAGGCTATCGGTCGGTAATGTGTTAAGAAAAAATATCATCAAATGATTATATACTAATATTTTAGTAAAGTTTAATTTATAACCTGTAATGATATAGAAAAAATGTCGTAAAATGATATTTATAACCTGGCACAACATTCTTGTAATTATTTATTTTCATCTAATTTTCAGGAATTGTCATAATTAGATACTTTTAATTTAATTAGGACTTCGTGTAATCATTTATTTTAATTTAATCGGTACTTTATACAGGGTGTTCGACTATTCCTGGGAAAAATTGTACTGGGAGATTCTAGAGGCCAAAATAGGACGAAACTCAAGAATACTAATTTGTTGATAGAGGCTTCGTTAAAAAGTTATTAATGTTTAAATTTCCGCCAGTACTGAATTTTTTTCTCGAAAATGCGTAGGATTTCGGGGGTATGTGTAATAACCAAAAATTATTCTAATCGACTCTTGCAACTGAAAATAATTTTTCCAAAACGATTTGAAATTTTGTAATTTTGTCCAAAAATTTCACATCTCGAATTTTTTTCTCGAAAGTGGGAAGGATTTCGAAGGTATGTCTAATGACCAAAAATGATTGTAATTGACCCTTGCAACTGAAAATAATTTTTCCAGAACGATTTAAAATTTTTTTTTCCCCCAGTCGATTTTTCTTAAAAATTCGTTTTTGATTTTTAGTAATTTTGTTTGACGCCCTATAAAAAAGTTGTCTAATACTTTTTTGTAGGTGCCCATGAGCTCTGCTTCAGAAAAAAGTTTCATTGAAATTGTATTCACTATTGTAGGAGTTATGGCTGTTTGAAAATTAGACGATTTTTAGGGGGTTTCTCTCATTTTGCAGAATTAAGGAATAACTTTTTGAATATTTTTTGAATGTTTACATATTCTTCGCCAAAATACGCGTTGTTTGCCGTTCGAAACATTAAAATCCTTTAATCCATTTAGAAATTATGACGTTTTAAAGATTCGCATAAAATTTTTTAGAAGCATTTCCGTCCTCAAGTTACATTTTTGGTAAGGAATTTTTTTTCTTGAAAATGCGTAGGATTTCGGGGGTATGTGTAATAACCAAAAATTATTGTAATCGACCCTTGCAACTGAAAATAATTTTTTTAGAACCGTTTGAAAAATATTTTTTTCGCCGAAAAATTTCAGCACCTACCCGATTTTTTTTCTCGAAAGTGGATAGGATTTCGGAGGTATGTGTAATAACCAAAAATTATTGTAATCGACCCTTGCAACTGAAAATAATTTTTTTAGAACCATTTGAAGAATATTTTTTTCGCCGAAAAATTTCAGCACCTACCCGATTTTTTTTCTCGAAAGTGGATAGGATTTCGGAGGTATGTGTAATAACCAAAAATTATTGTAATCGACCCTTGCGACTGAAAATAATTTTTTTAGAACCGTTTGAAAAATATTTTTTTCGCCGAAAAATTTCAGCATCTACCCGATTTTTTTTCTCGAAAGTGGATAGGATTTCGGAGGTATGTGTAATAATCAAAAATTATTGTAATCGACCCTTGCAACTGACTGCAATTTTTTTAGAACGATTTGAAAAATTTTCAATTTAATTTTGTTAATAACTTTTTAACGAAGCAAAGAAATTGATATTCTTGACTTTCGATTCATTTTGGCCTCTAGAATTTCCCTGTATAAAATAAAAAAATACAAAATAGATATAGGATTTTAATTATTAGGTGTTTTACTTTTTAGGTGCAAATACCCCACTGTGCGTCGTCCGTGAGAAGGAAAAGCGGATCAGGTGGTCCGCGTAGAGTAACCGCGAGCCTGGCTATCTATAGACGGAGCGTGGGGTCAGGAATGCGTAAATATCGTTCTCAGTGTTCCGTGCGTGGGCGTACTACGTATACGTGCGACGGGCTGACTGGTCAGTCTACAGGTAAATGTACGTGTAAGTACGTTTCCTACATATACAGGGTGTTCATTGTAACGGTCACCGTGACTTTGATACATTTCAAATAATTCAGCAATAAAAGTATCATAAATAAACGTTAATCCAACATTCGATCGACAACAGTATGCAAAATTAAACACCGTCGAAAGACAAAAAAATCAGGGTCACCTTCACTTTTTAAACGACCGTTAGCAATAAAGTGCTGTTAAAAAACCATTTCTTGTAACCGGTCATTTTTTACTCTTCATGTAGTAATTGTGACGCGGGTTTTTACATAATGCTAGTAATTATGTATTTATTTTCCATTTTTTAAAAGTGTTTGTAATCACTGCAACTAATATTTGTATTCATTGTAACGGTCACCGTGACTTTTATACATTTCAAATAATTCAGCAATAAAAGTATCATAAATAAACGTTAATCCAACATTCGATCGACAACAGTATGCAAAATTAAACACCGTCGAAAGACAAAAAAATCAGGGTCATCTTCACTTTTTAAACGACCGTTAGCAATAAAGTGCTGTTAAAAAACCATTTCTTGTAACTGGGCATTTTTTACTCTTCACGTTGTTGTCTCCAAGACTTTAATCCACATTTATAGTGTGGTATCGGGAAATGCGAGGAACTTGAGCGGAGTAAGAACTATAGGTTAAAAGAGAAAGCGTTACAGGTCGAAAGGGACGGGGAAAACCCCTGGGTCAGCGGGGCCCAGTGACGCGTTCGGGGTCCTCTCGCGCAGGGGTGCGAAACGCAAGCATGACCATATTTGTTCATGTACGCGCCCGAAAGAAGCTTGAATGGTGGGGCGGAAAAGGTTTTAAAATGGGATGTTTCGAGCGGAAAAAGGAGACTCGCTTGACAAGACGTTGCCGTAACAAGTCGCTTTAAGTTGTCGTTTCAAGTTGTCGTTTTAAGTTGTTGTTTTAAGTTGTCGTTCTAAGTTATATCAGTTTAAGCGTAGCTGTTATTCAAATAGTCTTAAAATTAGTTCCTAGCCACTTTTAATATTTAAATAAAGATCTTTTTGAACAAATACCCACAATAGTAATTATGTCGCGGGTTTTTACACAATGCTAGTAATTATGTATTTGTTTTCATATTTATGTAATTATTATTTATTATTTATTTTTTAGATACTTTCAATAATGTAACAAGAAAGGATTATGAACAAAAACTAGTTCAGCATTCAATCGGTAACGATATACAAAATTAAACATTGACGAAACACAGTTTTACTATAATAAAAAAATCAGGGTCATATTCGTTTTTTTTAAAACTGACATCAATAATAAAATTCTCTAATATTCATTAAAAAGTTGCTTCTTTTAATTGATGTTTTCCAGAGTCTAATCAAAATTACTTTTATAAGACTAGGTTTTTTTTACAGGAGTGGTAATTAAAGGTTTAATTGTAATTATTAAAATGTGTTACAAACAAAAATTAGTCAGTATTCAATGCGTGAAATGAAATTATAGAATTATAGATAGTATCAAGAGAAAAACTCAACGAAGTCAAATAAAACGGTTTTTGTTAAATAAGTTGTTAAAAAAAATCATACTCAACCATACTATACTAAATTTGTACATAATTTCAAGCTATACGAAAGGACTGTATACCTCAATAATAAAAAATAAAAAAAAGTAGAGTTTTTCAGAAGCACGAAATTACAAAAAAATAATTACAGAATAGCACTCAACTGTTCTAGCATTAAATGTAATATAATACCTTATTAATATTCAAGTTAAGCATTAATATAATTCAATAGTATTTTGTAAAAATAAAAGTATTTTGTAAAAATAAAAATAGAAGTATTTTGTAAAAATAAAAATAGAAGTATTTTGTAAAGAATAGAAGTATTTTGCAAAAAATGGAAGTATTTGGTAAAATGGAAGTATTTTGTAAAAAATAGAAGTATTTTGTAAAAAATAGAAGTATTTTGTAAAAAAAAAAATGGACGTATTTTGCAAAAAATGGACGTATTTGGTTAAAAAATGGAAGTATTTAGTAAATAATGGAAGTATTTGGTAAAATGGAAATATTTGGTAAAATGAAAGTATTTGGTAAAAATAGAAATATTTGGTAAAAAATGGAAGTATTTTGCAAAAATGGAAGTATTTAGTAAACAATGGAAGTATTTAGTAAACAATGGAAGTATTTGGTAAAAAAAAATGGAAGTATTTAGTAAACAATGGAAGTATTTGGTTAAAAAAATGGAAGTATTTTGCAAAAAATAGAAGTATTTTGTAAAAAATACAAGTATTTGGTAAAAAATACAAGTATTTGGTAAAAAATACAAGTATTTGGTAAAAAATACAAGTATTTGGTAAAAAATACAAGTATTTGGTAAAAAATACAAGTATTTGGTAAAATAGAAGTATTTTGTAAAATAGAAGTATTTTGTAAAAAATAGAAGTATTTTGTAAAAAATAGAAGTATTTTGTAAAAAATAGAAGTATTTTGTAAAAAATACAAGTATTTTGTAAAAAATACAAGTATTTGGTAAAAAATAGAAGTATTTGGTAAAAAATAGAAGTATTTGGTAAAAAATAGAAGTATTTGGTTAAAAAATAGAAATATTTGGTAAAATGAAAGTATTTGGTAAAATGAAAGTATTTGGTAAAATGAAAGTATTTGGTAAAATGAAAGTATTTGGTAAAATGAAAGTATTTGGTAAAATGAAAGTATTTGGTAAAATGAAAGTATTTGGTAAAAAATAGAAATATTTGGCAAAATGAAAGTATTTGGTAAAAAATAGAAATATTTGGTAAAATGAAAGTATTTGGTAAAAAAAATGGAAGTATTTTGTAAAATGAAAGTATTTGGTAAAAAATAGAAATATTTGGTAAAATGAAAGTATTTTGTAAAAAATAGAAGTATTTTGTAAAAAATAGAAGTATTTTGTAAAAAATAGAAGTATTTTGTAAAAAATAGAAGTATTTTGTAAAAAATAGAAGTATTTTGTAAAAAATAGAAGTATTTTGTAAAAAATAGAAGTATTTTGTAAAAAATAGAAGTATTTTGTAAAAAATAGAAGTATTTTGTAAAAAATAGAAGTATTTTGTAAAAAATAGAAGTATTTTGTAAAAAATAGAAGTATTTTGTAAAAAATAGAAGTATTTTGTAAAAAATAGAAGTATTTTGTAAAAAAATAGAAGTATTTTGTAAAAAAAAATAGAAGTATTTTGTAAAAAATGGACGTATTTGGTTAAAAAATGGAAGTATTTAGTAAATAATGGAAGTATTTGGTAAAATGGAAATATTTGGCAAAATGAAAGTATTTGGTAAAAAATAGAAATATTTGGTAAAATGAAAGTATTTGGTAAAAAATAGAAATATTTGGTAAAATGAAAGTATTTGGTAAAAAATAGAAATATTTGGTAAAATGAAAGTATTTGGTAAAAAAAATGGAAGTATTTTGTAAAAAATACAAGTATTTTGTAAAAAATACAAGTATTTTGTAAAAAATACAAGTATTTTGTAAAAAATAGAAGTATTTTGTAAATATTTTGAAAAAAATGGTACGATGCTATTTAAAAAGATTTCGAACGAAGGAAAAGTAATTTGACAATTTTTAATATTGTACTGGATTAACAACTAGACATTAACTAATTTTCGTTCATAATATTTTTTTGTCAGATTCCCGGAAGTATCTAAAAAGTCTCAGCGACCGTAAATTACACGATAATAACGTCTTCTTAGGCATTATACACTTTCCTAAATAATTACTTCCTCTATACTTTAATTAATATAATATTTCATCAATTTTGTACATTCATTTTCAAAGGTACCACTCTACATTTCTATTTTACTTGTATTTTTATATCAATGTGTTTACTTTATCCCATATTTCATATTTAGAACGTTGTTTTATGACTATATGTACCACATTACACTGTATTTTCATAACATGAAAAATTTTACGAACAATCTTCGAATTTAACACAATTCTGCAATCGTAAATTTGATTAGTCTCTTCCTTCCGTCGCAAATAAACATTTTATTTTTAACTAACATTACCTAACCGTAACGTATATATAGTTCTTACTCTAACGGAACAATTTTTATAAATAAACGTTCTCTTAAGTTTATAATTATCCCATAATGCCGAGAGCTATAAAACGACGACCAAAACATTTACGACAAAACTGACGAATGTTGTTAACACTCGATTTACGGAAATTTTCAATTTGACGGATGTTTGATTCCACATTTAAAATTGCAGAATGCGTAAATATTATTTTTTTAACAACTTGGATGCAATGGCACGAATACATATTCTAATTAAAAGAAAAAATCGTATTGTAAGGTAACCGTCAACAATGAAATGTATCAATAAATATACGTGCGATCAATGCCCGTATATCTGGTGTTAATAACGTCAGAATCAGTGTATATATCAGTTTCATGGTTTTTCAATTGCAAGCAACTCGTTCTGTTTATAATATTTCTCTGTTTACATTATCGAGAACGTTCAAATAATCGTGACGACTGTTACAATGAAAATTCTGTACAATTCGGGTCCACGAAAAAAATACAAAGATGGCCGCTCACTCGGTATCGGGCAAATATAGGAAAAAATAAAAATAGCTCAACCGAGAGTTATTTCGGTGGACGACGCGTGGGGCAGGGGGGGTGATATAAGTACCTTGATTCAACGGCGATCGATTCTGATCGGAATTGGCCTGTATCCGTTCGCCAACGGGGCTAGAGGGCGGCGAGGTCGTCGGTCTTGACGGTGTCGTTGGAAGGCTGATGGGAGGAACGACATTCGTTGTCGTCGGTACAGAGGGTGTGGTGGGGGCGCTCATAGTCGTCGTAGGCCTCGGCAACTGACTAGGAGGTCCTGCTGGAAGCCCTGAAATCCCAACGTTTCGATCAGTTCAACGACGAACAAGTTCAATTTCGCGAACGATCCAACTTCGATTTTCATGAAACTTTGTACACTTATAAAGCAGCCAACAAATAATCGACCCCGTATCCTTTTTTAGCCGCGGTGACTCGAGTTTACGGGGTGAAACCACCCCTTGAAGTTTTGGCTCGAAACGACGATGACTAAATAAGAGAAAATACATGTTATTAATATACAGGGCGATTCTAGAGGCCAAAATAAGACGAAAATCGAGAATACTAATTTGTTGATGGAGGCTTCGTTTAAAAGTTATTAACGTTCAAAGTTCCGTCAGTACTGAATTTTTTTCTCGAAAATGCGCAGGATTTCGGAGACAGGTCTATTCACCAAAAATTATTGTAATTTACCCCCGCAATTAAAAATAATTTTTCCAGAACGATTTGAAATTTTGTAATTTTGTCGAAAAATTTCATACCTTCTCGAATTTTTTTCTCGAAAGTGAGAAGGATTTCGAAGGTACGTCTAATGACCAAAAATGATTGTAATTGACCCTTGCAACTAAAAATAATTTTTCCAGAACGATTTAAAATTTTTTTTTTCCGCAGTCGATTTTTCTTAAAAATTCGTTTTTCATTTTTGGTAATTTTGTTTGACGCCGTATAAAAAAGTTGTCTAATACTTTTTTGTAGGTACCCATGAGCTCTACTTTAGAAAAAAGTTTTACTGAAATATGTTCACTATTGTAGGAGTTATGGCTGTTTGAAAATTGGGCCGTTTTTATGGGTGTTTTTCTCATTTTACGGGATTATGGAACAACTTTTCGAATATTTTTGGAATTTCTACGTATTCTCCACTGAAATACGCGTTGTATGCCGTTTGAAACATTACAATCCTCCAATCCGTTCAAAAGTTATGAAGTTTTAAAGATACGCATGTTAAACAAATTACACCCAAATGGTCCCAAACCAAATTGAACGGGGCTAATACCACTCGATAGGTAGTTCGAAAAAACCCCTTTTCAGAAAGTTTCAACCCGGTATCACTACTACAGGGGTAATTACAGGGTGAAAATCATTTTTTGGTTTATCCTTAATATCTCCCGCTCTGCTCAATTAAAAATTATGAAAAAAATCATGGTTATTCTATCGATTGATGTACATATTCGAGAATTTTTTCAGAATTTTTGGATGCAAATTCGATTTTTAAAAAATTCGAAAATATTTTAATTGGCGATTTTTTGTCGAAGTAATCAAGTCACCACGTTTGTTTTTATAGAGTATAAAGCTCTCAAAATAATTAGTAATTTCTAATTTTTTCAGATTTTTCGAAGGTGTGGAACGTAGTCAAAAAAATACAAAATGATTAAAAAATGGTGAAAATGCTTTATATTGCCTTAATTACTTACGTGACAATGTTCATATTTTTACAGCTATAGCGTAACAGTATGACTATTGATGCGTAATTTTTTCAGATTTTTTAAAAGGGTGGAACGTAGTAAAAAAAATACAAAAGGATTAAAAAATGGTGAAAATGCTTTATATTGCCATAATTACTTACGTGACCATGTTCATATTTTTACAGCTATAGCGTAACATTATGACTATTAATGCGTAATTTTTTCAGATTTTTTGAAGGTGAGGAACGTAGTCAAAAAAATAAAAAATGATTAAAAAATGGTGAAAATGCTTTATATTGCCATAATTACTTACGTGACAATGTTCATATTTTTACAGCTATAGCGTAACATTACGACTATTAATGCGTAATTTTTTCAGATTTTTTGGAAAAATTGTTAAAGAAATATTAATTCATATTTCCGAATTTTTCATACGGAAAAAGGCCGCAAATGCTTTTAAAATAGATACAAATAAAATATATTTGTTTACATACTTTGTTAACTGGTCGCTACATGTAGTTTCAATAATACATAAAAATTCAACGTGTAAGTTACTCTAAAATGCAAAAAATGAGGAAAAAATCAGTTTTTATTTTTTTTTACTGCCACGCGCCAAAATGAAAAATCTGAAAAAAATTGAGAATAATAGTAATAGCAATACCTGTTTACTATAAAAATATAAAAGTAGTTCCGGACCCCCTTCAATACGTAATCGGCATTTTTCTGCATTTTTTGCGGTTTTTTATTTTTTACTACCTGGTTCTTCGATCAAAAAATCTGAAAATCTCCCAAAATATGTGCCCCGGTACCCGAAATATCTCCGAATTTTTTTACATTTTTTTACTCAATAGGTCAAGAGAAATTGTACAAAAACATGATTTTCGTTTTCACCCCATTACTACCCCCACGGTCGAGATTTCAATTTAAAAATTGGCACGCAGGGGTTTTTTTTTTATAAGCTATCGAATGACCCATCGTTCGTTCAATTCGGTTTGGGGTCATTTGACCCTTTTTGTATCTGAAAAAAAAAAACAAAAAAATTTTCTCTTAACACTTTACCGACCGGTAGCGGTTGATTAATCGGCTATCGGTCGGTAAGCGTTGGTCGGTAAAAAAGTTGATTAATACGCTATCGGTCGGTAAAAAAGTCGATTAATAGGCTATCGGTCGGTAATGTGTTAATGTACATGAGCATAGAGGAATACGTAAGGGATCTTCGATAAGTTAATTTTAACATTATTTATTAACAAATGATTGCCCCATTTTTCTGTACAAAATTGAACTTTTTACTTCAAATGCTCGCCATATAAAATCATACAAAAATTAATGTTTCAAAAACTCCCTAAATATTTTTCTAGCTATACTCATGTAGATTAAGAGACAATTTTTGTTTTCCAGATACAAAATTTGCGTCAGTTACACTGCGTGCCGCAAAGCGCCTCCAGCGTCGTTATTTTGCACTATTTTTGAATAAATATTTTTTGTTAAACACTTAACGGACATGGTTAATAACATTCTTGAATATTATTATCCCCTTACTTTTCCATATCGCAAAAAAAAACGCTTTATTTCGGGTTTTTACAGTGGTTTTACCCCTTAACCCCGTAAGGGCGTTGTATTATATGCTGCTATAATTTTTCACACTCAAATATAGTCGAGAATTGAAAATAACAATGTAAAAGTGTAAATAAATATTTTCACTCGTAAAAATATGTGTTTTTCCGAAATAGCAATTCAAAAAGAAAGATAAAAAAAGTCGATGTACGCGTAACATTGCAATAATCGACTCCTTTCTGCAATGTGGATCAAAATCCCAAATTGTAATAAAAATTTTGATTATTTTTGTATTTTTAAAATTTTTTTACCAAGACAATGTGTTTTACCTAAATTGTGTTTTTTTTTACAAAAAAAAAAAAAATTGATTTTTTTTGGCCGGTTTTTTCAAAAAAAACTGTGCGTTAAGGGGCCATTCTACCTTGTAGGCATGAAAAATACGTGTTTCTTTGTGATTTTTTTTTTGCGGGTTATTAAAGAGCGATTAATTCCGGATTTTGTAGATACATTTATTATACATTTAGCTATATTTACGAATTTTTGCAACGCATAATATCTATTGATTACGTTGTTTTTGTTGATCATCAAACAACAGTTTTTACGAAACGGCACCCGACTGCGTACGTGATATCTTGCGAACAAGTTATTCGAAATCCTAAAACCAACGATATTCTTAATACAGATGAGTGTGGTTATAGCATGAACTAGGATCATTTAAAAAAAAACAAAAAATGGCAAAATGGCAGCTATTTTACGAAAAAATACTGAATATTTTCATATATTTGGTTGCTTTTTTGTTAATAAAAGAAAAAGTATTGCATATATCGCAATTATCCTAGTTCATGCTATAGGGAGACCAGTTCTGAACATACTGTATAAATTTGATGTTGATATCTTGAATAGTTTTCTAGTTATCACGCACGCAGTGCCGAAAAATGTAGTTTCGAGAAAAACAGCTTTAAAGTTTCACGTCCAGTTGTTATACCTGCGCGCGGTACATTTCAGCAGGCCATAACTTCGTTAGTTTTCCGAATTTCAATTTAACCCTTTTAGCGCCGAACGACGATATATCGTCGTTCGCTACACTTGCGAAAAGTGCCAACAAACGATATATCGTTGCGTATGCGATGGTGTCTTATTCTTCGCATTAGAAGAAAGCTCTGTCTCGAAACAAAATTTGTAAAACATTATAAGGGGTCTAATTTTATTGCATAAGCGTTTAAAAAATTATTTTTGGGTTTAACCCTTTCAACACTACTTTGTGGTGGAAACGTATGTATTCTGGAGTCGTCATATTATACAGGGTGTTCGGCCAACCCTGGGAAAAATTTTAATAGGAGATCCTAGAGGCCAAAATAAGACGAAAATGAAGAGTATCAGTTTCTTGACCGAGGCATCGTTAAAAAGTTATTAACAATTAAATTAAAAAATTTCAAACCGCTCTGGAAAAATTATCTTCGATTGCAGGGGTCAATTACAATCATTTTTGGTAAATACACATACCTCCGAAATCCTACCCACTTTCGAGAAAAAAATTCGAGTAGGTACTGAAATTTTCAGACGAAATTAAAAAATTTCAAATCGTACTAAAAAAAATTATATTTAGTTACGGGGGTCAGTTACAAGCATTTTTGGTGAATAGACATACCTCCGAAATCCTGCGCACTTTCGAGAAAAAAATTCGAGTAGGTGCTGAAATTTTCAGACGAAATTAAAAAATTTCAAATCGTACTAAAAAAATTATATTTAGTTACAGGGGTCAGTTACAAGCATTTTTGGTGAATAGACATACCCCGAAATCCTACACACTTTCGAGAAAAAAATTCCTGAAAATCTAATATGAGGCCAGAAATGCTTCCCTGAAACATGTGAACCTTTAAAATGTTATAACTTCTGAACCGATTGGGGGATTTTAATGTTTCAAACGGCAAACAACGCGTATTTTGGCCAAGAATATATAGAAACTCCAACAATATTCGAAAAGTTGTTCCTTAACACCGTGAAGTGAAAAAAACCTCAATTAAAATGGCCTAATCTTCAAACGTCCGTAACATCTACAATAGTGAACGAATCACGATGAAATTTAGTATGGAAGTAGAGCTCATGGATCCCTACAAAAATGTACTAAGTAACTTTTCCATACAGCGTCAAACATATCTATTAAAAATGAAAAACGAATTTTTAAGAAAAAGATAGGTGCTGAAATTTTTCGGCGGAAAAAAAAAGTTTCAAATCGTTCTGGAAAAATTATTTTCGGTTGCGACGGTCAATTAGAATCATTTTCGGTGAATACACATACCTCCGAAATCCTTCGCACTTTCGAGAAAAAATTTAGAAAGGTGAACAAATTTTTCGACAAAATTAAAAAATTTCAAATCGTTCTGGAAAAATTATTTTAGGGTGCGAGAGTCAATTACAATCATTTTTGGTGAATAGACATACCCTCGAAATCCTGCGCAATTTCGAGAAAAAAATTCGAATAGGTACTGAAATTTTCAGACGAAATTAAAAAATTTCAAATCGTACTAAAAAAATTATATTTAGTTACAGGGGTCAGTTACAAGCATTTTTGGTGAATAGACATACCCCGAAATCCTACACACTTTCGAGAAAAAAATTCCTGAAAATCTAATATGAGGCCAGAAATGCTTCCCTGAAATATGTGAATCTTTAAAATGTTATAACTTCTGAACCGATTGGGGGATTTTAATGTTTCAAACGGCAAACAACGCGTATTTTGGCCAAGAATATATAGAAACTCCAACAATATTCGAAAAGTTGTTCCTTAACACCGTGAAGTGAAAAAAACCTCAATTAAAATGGCCTAATCTTCAAACGTCTGTAACATCTACAATAGTGAACGAATCACGATGAAATTTAGTATGGAAGTAGAGCTCATGGATCCCTACAAAAATGTACTAAGTAACTTTTCCATACAGCGTCAAACATATTTATTAAAAATGAAAAACGAATTTTTAAGAAAAAGATAGGTGCTGAAATTTTTCGGCGGAAAAAAAAAGTTACAAATCGTTCTGGAAAAATTATTTTCGGTTGCGACGGTCAATTAGAATCATTTTCGGTGAATACACATACCTCCGAAATCCTTCGCACTTTCGAGAAAAAATTTAGAAAGGTGAACAAATTTTTCGACAAAATTAAAAAATTTCAAATCGTTCTGGAAAAATTATTTTAGGGTGCGAGAGTCAATTACAATCATTTTTGGTGAATACACATACCTCCGAAATCCTGCGCACTTTCGAGAAAAAAATTCGAGTAGGTACTGAAATTTTCAGACGAAATTAAAAAATTTCAAATCGTACTAAAAAAATTATATTTAGTTACAGGGGTCAGTTACAAGCATTTTTGGTGAATAGACATACCCCGAAATCCTACACACTTTCGAGAAAAAAATTCCTGAAAATCTAATATGAGGCCAGAAATGCTTCCCTGAAATATGTGAATCTTTAAAATGTTATAACTTCTGAACCGATTGGGGGATTTTAATGTTTCAAACGGCAAACAACGCGTATTGTGGCCAAGAATATATAGAAACTCCAACAATATTCGAAAAGTTGTTCCTTAACACCGTGAAGTGAAAAAAACCTCAATTAAAATGGCCTAATCTTCAAACGTCCGTAACTTCTACAATAGTGAACGTATCTCGATGAAATTTAGTATGGAAGTAGAGCTCATGGATCCCTACAAAAATGTACTAAGTAACTTTTCCATACAGCGTCAAACATATTTATTAAAAATGAAAAACGAATTTTTAAGAAAAAGATAGGTGCTGAAATTTTTCGGCGGAAAAAAAAAGTTTCAAATCGTTCTGGAAAAATTATTTTCGGTTGCGACGGTCAATTAGAATCATTTTCGGTGAATACACATACCTCCGAAATCCTTCGCACTTTCGAGAAAAAAATTTAGAAAGGTGAACAAATTTTTCGACAAAATTAAAAAATTTCAAATCGTTCTGGAAAAATTATTTTAGGGCGCGAGAGTCAATTACAATCATTTTTGGTGAATAGACATACCCTCGAAATCCTACCCACTTTCGAGAAAAAAATTCGAGTAGGTACTGAAATTTTTAGACGAAATTTAAAAATTTCAAATCGTACTAAAAAAATTATATCTAATTACAGGAGTCGATTACAAGCATTTTTGGTAAATAGACATACCCCTGAATTCCTACGCACTTTCGAGAAAAAAATTCGAGTAGGTACTGAACTTTTTAGGTGAAATTGAAATATTTAAAATCTCACTAAAAAAATTATATTTATTTACAGGGGTCAATTACAATCATTTTTTATCGTTACACATACCCCCAAAATCCTACGCATTTTTTAGAAAAAAATTCCTTACCGAAAATCTAATTGGGTGCCTAAATTTTACGACGAAAAAAAAATTTCAAATCGTTCTGAAAAAATTATTTTCGGTCGCGGGGGTCAATTTCGATCATGTTTGGTGAATACACATACCCCTGAATTCCTGCCCAATTTCTAGAAAAAAATTCGACAAGGTGTGAAATTTTTCAACGGGGGTTAAAAAAAATTTCAAATTGTCCTGGAAAAATTATTTTCGATCGTGGGAGTCGATCACGATCATTTTTGGTGAATAGACGTACCCTCGAAATCCTTGCGCGTTTTCGAGAAAAAAATTCAGTAAGGTCTCCACTTTAAACGTTAATAACTCTTTAACAAAGCCTCGTCATATTTTGAATTGATTATTTATTAAAAAAATCATTGAAAATCAATTACTTATACTTTATGCTACGTGACCTACATAAAACTGTGATCAAACAATGATTATTCTTATGTGTAAATATTGTTTGTAGAAGAGAAACTTGTTTCTATGTTTTTTTATCATATTTTATAATCATGTTATTTATATGATTTGCAATAAATATTGAAATTCAATTGCCATTACTTTATTCTTTCTTTATTTCGTAATATGCTGCTTTTTGAATTTTATAAATATTCTTAGTTTGGTTTTTATGAGCTTTTTCTCTAACCATAACAAACTCGTAAAATTGGCTCGGTGTTCTTCGCATAGGCACTAAAAGGGTTAATATTTGGTAGACATATTTTCGAGACTACATACTAAAGGAAAATGCAAAAAAAAAAAAATATCGATTTTTTTAATCCCACAAGGTAGAAAGGCCCCTTAAGGGGTTAATAATATAGGAACTGAATAATACGGACCTGGTGGCCTCTGAGGTCCAGTTTGAACCGGTGGTATCAAGCTGTTGGGCCTGCTGGGCCTCATGGGCGGTCTGATCCTCGCGGCAGCTACGCCGCCAACGGCTCCCGCGCCGATGCTGATCTGCAGACGACTCTGAAAACCCCGTGGATCGAGGGAGGAGCTCGAGTAGGTCAGGCTCGAGCCCTGTGATCTGATGTCGATCGGTGGTTGCGGTTCCGAGGACGGCGGCCTCAGCGTCAGGCTGACCGATGTGTAGCTTCGCGTGTGATCGATCTGCGGCCCCGTGTTCTCCACGTTTAACAATGGCTCCGCGTAATGTGGCCGCGGATCGACGATCAGATCGCTTCGTTTACAGGCGCCACCGATCGTAGGCACCGTTCGAAAGTCTGCTGGTTCACGATGAAATCAGAAAAAGATTGCGTTATGAAATCTTCTAACGAACTATCGCTACGGGAAAGGGTCAACGTATTCACTGCGGTGCGTAGGATATAGCAACGTGCCGAACTTTCTCGTCAATTGCTCTTCTAGCTTGAGAAAAATTAAATATAAAAATGAATTTTAAACAAGACGGAATTAGACCATGTGTTCCTATCCAACGATTTCTGAACTTAAAATCGAGATATTAACGAACTATGCGGGCATTGTGAGCAGGGCATTGGAGTCAATTTTCTCGGTTCAAGGTCATCCGAAGGTCATGCTATGGCAGGTCGTTGAATTCGTCTTAAGACAAGCTATAATAATATGAAGTAAAAAATATGCAATGCTATTTAAAAAAATCAAGTTGTCCTCGACTTCTTATTGAAAAAATTATAATTTTTTTAAATTCACTGTTTTATCTTGTAGTACATGAGACATTGATAAACTTTTGTTGGAAACATTTTTTTGTCAGATTGACAGAAGTGCTCGAAAAAAGGTGGGCAAAAGTTAAGGAAACACCCTGTATAGTAATGGAAGATTCTGGAGGCCAAAATAAGACGAAAATCAAGAATACAAATTTGTTGATTGAGGCTTCGTTAAAAAGTTATTAACGTTTAAATTTGCGCCTGTAGATGGGCAATCTGCGCACAGCTGCGTGCGCGCGATAGTGGTTCTCACTCGAGCGTGAGAAACTCTACTGAGTGACGTATCCACAGCCTTACAGTTTTATGAGTGAGGATCACTATCACGCATGCGCAGCTGTTCGCAGATTGCCATTCTACAGGCAGAACTTTAAACGTTAATAACTTTTTAACGAAGCCTTAATCAACAAATTGGTATTCTTGATTTTCGTCTTATTTTGGCCTCTAGAATCGCTCATGTAAATTTTTCCCAAGGGTGACTGAACACCCTGTATACCACATATTGTATTTTGTTCCATACGAACTATACTTCATTGAATTTTTATTACACAATAAAATGATATCCTTGTAATTTTTCTACCGCTTTTCAATTATTATTATTGCGCCTATACTGTACACGGAAATGTGAAAATCTACGAAAAACCGCAGTGAACGTGTTAAGACTGAAAGGAGTCGACGTGAACAGGACAAAGTACAAACTACAAACAATGAAGAATAGAAAAAAAAAACATTAGAAGATTAGCCCCATTTGTTTAGCAATTTTCATAAATAATAAACAATTTTCATTACACCTGGGAAAAATTTTAATGGGAGATTCTAGAGGCCAAAATAAAACGAAAATCAAGAATATCAATTTCTTGATTGAGACTTTATTAAAAAGTTATTAAAAAATTAAATTAAAAAATTTCAAATCATACTAAAAAAATCATATTAAGTTACAGGGGTAAATTACAAGCATTTTTGGTGAATAGACATACCCCCGAATTCCTCCCCACTTTCGAGAAAAAAATTCGAGAATGAGTGAAATTTTTCGACAAAATTCAAAAATTTCAAATCGTTCTGGGAAAATTATTTTCGGTTGCGGGGGTTAATTGCAATCATTTTTGGTGAATAGACCTACCCCCGAATTCCTCCCCACTTTCGAGAAAAAAATTCGAGAATGAGTGAAATTTTTCGACAAAATTCAAAAATTTCAAATCGTTCTGGGAAAATTATTTTCGGTTGCGGGGGTCAATTACGAGCATTTTTGGTGAATACACATACCCCCAAAATCCTACGCATTTTCGAGAAAAAAATTCGAGAAAATGTGAAATTTTTCCACGAAATTAAAAAATTTCAAATCATTCTAAAAAAATTATTTTCGTTTAGGGGGATCAATTACAGTAATTTTTGGTGAATAGACCTACCCCCGAAATCCTACCCACTTTTTAGAAAAAAATTCAAAATAGGCGGAACTTTAAACGTTAATAACTTTTTAAGGAAGCCTCCATCAACAAATTACTATTCTCGATTTTCGTCTTATTTTGGCCTCTAGAATCTCCCATTATAATTTTTCCCATGGTTAGCCGAACACCCTGTATAAAACCAAGTTTCTTAAACTACAAGTTACGACCCTTCGCGTAAGTTTCACGTTAAAATTTTTTGGGATTGTAGAACATTTTTGAAATCATATAATATGTTTTTTAATATTTACAAATATTAAAATACTCTAATCTCTATAAATATACTCGTATAATGATTATTAATATATATTTGGTTAGTTCACCCTCTGCGCATGTGTAACGCGCATTCCCCAAACAGGTGAAATATCAATTTTTTTTTAAAATGGCGATTTATATTTAAACGCAGAATTACGTCCTTGTTAGCCACATCATTTGTTGCGGGACACTCTGTATAAAATTTCAAAGTTTTAGATAGCTGTTTTGAATAATGCACTAACATCATTCATGTTTGGATCTTTTTTTGTTTCTCACTTTTTTATTTTTTTTTTTTTTCAACACTATAATTGACAAAAACTGTGAAACCGTATAATATTCACACTAACAATATTTACTTTTAATTATTTCACATATCTTTAATTTTCAACAATTGTTACAAATAATAACACGATTATATTAACACATTACCGACCGGTAGCCTATTAATCGACTGTTTTACCGGCCAACGCTTACCGACCGATAGCCTATTAATCAACTGTTTTATCGGTCGGTAAGTGTTGGCCGGTAAAAAAGTAGATTAATAGGCTATCGGTCGGTAATGTGTTAAGACTCGAGTGAACCTCATTTTTCAACCATCAGTCAATGTTTTTTTCTCGATGCTTCTCACAACTATGTCATTGGATAAAAAAAAACCTATGCAAAATCTGAAATTGATCGAGCAACGGAAGTATGTGCTGCATTGAATATGAAAATTTTTACAATTCGTTTTTCGCCATTAGTCCATCACTATAATACGAATCATACGTAAAGGTGAAAGAGCAATTGAAAAAGAAATAAAATAATTAAAAAACACTGAAACACTCATAATTGGTGACACGAATACAGGACTTTCCTATTAATATTTTAACACTTTACCGACCGGTAGCCTATTAATCGACTGTTTTACCGGCCAACGCTTACCGACCGATAGCCTATTAATCAACTGTTTTATCGGTCGGTAAGTGTTGGCCGGTAAAAAAGTAGATTAATAGGCTATCGGTCGGTAATGTGTTAAGACTCGAGTGAACCTCATTTTTCAACCATCAGTCAATGTTTTTTCTCGATGCTTCCCACAACTATGTCATTGGATAAAAAAAAACCTATGCAAAATCTGAAATTGATCGAGCAACGGAAGTATGTGCTGCATTGAATATGAAAATTTTTACAATTCGTTTTTCGCCATTAGTCCATCACTATAATACGAATCATACGTAAAGGTGAAAGAGCAATTTGAAAAAGAAATAAAATAATTAAAAAACACTGAAACACTCATAATTGGTGACACGAATACAGGACTTTCCTATTAATATTTTAACACTTTACCGACCGGTAGCCTATTAATCGACTGTTTTACCGGCCAACGCTTACCGACCGATAGCCTATTAATCAACTGTTTTATCGGTCGGTAAGTGTTGGCCGGTAAAAAAGTCGATTAATAGGCTATCGGTCGGTAATGTGTTAAGACTCGAGTGAACCTCATTTTTCAACCATCAGTCAATGTTTTTTTCTCGATGCTTCTCACAACTATGTCATTGGATAAAAAAATACCTATGCAAAATCTGAAATTGATCGAGCAACGGAAGTATGTGCTGCATTGAATATGAAAATTTTTACAATTCGTTTTTCGCCATTAGTCCATCACTATAATACGAATCATACGTAAAGGTGAAAGAGCAATTTGAAAAAGAAATAAAATAATTAAAAAACACTGAAACACTCATAATTGGTGACACGAATACAGGACTTTCCTATTAATATTTTAACACTTTACCGACCGGTAGCCTATTAATCGACTGTTTTACCGGCCAACGCTTACCGACCGATAGCCTATTAATCAACTGTTTTATCGGTCGGTAAGTGTTGGCCGGTAAAAAAGTCGATTAATAGGCTATCGGTCGGTAATGTGTTAAGACTCGAGTGAACCTCATTTTTCAACCATCAGTCAATGTTTTTTCTCGATGCTTCTCACAACTATGTCATTGGATAAAAAAAAACCTATGCAAAATCTGAAATTGATCGAGCAACGGAAGTATGTGCTGCATTGAATATGAAAATTTTTACAATTCGTTTTTCGCCATTAGTCCATCACTATAATACGAATCATACGTAAAGGTGAAAGAGCAATTTGAAAAAGAAATAAAATAATTAAAAAACACTGAAACACTCATAATTGGTGACACGAATACAGGACTTTCCTATTAATATTTTAACACTTTACCGACCGGTAGCCTATTAATCGACTGTTTTACCGGCCAACGCTTACCGACCGATAGCCTATTAATCAACTGTTTTATCGGTCGGTAAGTGTTGGCCGGTAAAAAAGTCGATTAATAGGCTATCGGTCGGTAATGTGTTAAGACTCGAGTGAACCTCATTTTTCAACCATCAGTCAATGTTTTTTTCTCGATGCTTCTCACAACTATGTCATTGGATAAAAAAATACCTATGCAAAATCTGAAATTGATCGAGCAACGGAAGTATGTGCTGCATTGAATATGAAAATTTTTACAATTCGTTTTTCGCCATTAGTCCATCACTATAATACGAATCATACGTAAAGGTGAAAGAGCAATTTGAAAAAGAAATAAAATAATTAAAAAACACTGAAACACTCATAATTGGTGACACGAATACAGGACTTTCCTATTAATATTTTAACACTTTACCGACCGGTAGCCTATTAATCGACTGTTTTACCGGCCAACGCTTACCGACCGATAGCCTATTAATCAACTGTTTTATCGGTCGGTAAGTGTTGGCCGGTAAAAAAGTCGATTAATAGGCTATCGGTCGGTAATGTGTTAAGACTCGAGTGAACCTCATTTTTCAACCATCAGTCAATGTTTTTTTCTC